GATGTAGGGGGCGTTAGTTGTGAAGATAATGGGATGTTAGGGAGTGTAAGAAGAATTTCATTGTGACCAGTAGGATCACATGTGCTGTTACATTTAAAAGGCGGATGTTGCTTTCGCGCTGCTCACACCATGGACTTTGGTTTCTTGAGGGACCTGAAAGAAAAGGTAGATTAGAGTCGGTCTTAGAGACCTGGGAGCGTACCCGCAGAGTCCAAGGTACAACTATTTGAGGCCAGTCACGCACGGCGCTTTTATGAAAGTTTTTTTGAGTATTGAATCCGCTCTTTTAAAGCCCTTGGTGGGCATCCTTACCGACAGGTAGGGTGAGATGTGACATTTTTAGGGTCGACCTTTTCTAACTCGTCCTTCCTTGTGTGAATGCAGCAACGCTGCAGGTAAACACCTTATAGCTACCACGCCCCTCTATAGTCAGCAGTACGACTTCGCACTCAGACCTTGAGTACCTGCCTGGCATGGTAGAAACTTCATTAACGTATGTCCCAGCCAACATAACTCAGTTTGGTCATCACGATATGCCAGCACGAACACAGATACCAAAATGGTAGAACCAGTACTTTGCAAGTTATTAATGTTCAGATCATTGAGAAGTAGTGAACATTGAACGAATATTAAACTTCTTTATCACTTCATGGACAGTGAAAACCACTAACTATAATTCAAGGGCCCATCAATTTCATTTCACTGAAAGATGAAGATCATTTTTCGTATTGAATAAAAAAATGTAGAATATTAGTCAATGCACGCATAAGTAGAAGTGAAACAAAGTCTATTCAAAACAGCTTTTGTGTAACGAATTTCAAAAAAGAAAAGTTAATATCAAGTCTAAATTTCCTATGCAAACCTGACTTGGAATGCAATAATTTAAAGATCAAAACTAACTTATTTCACTGTAGTTGAACTGATTGAGTGTCCATTATTCTCTGTCAATGGTTATTGTTCATGGCCTATGTCAAAATCCTAAATTATGTATTTATTAATAAATCTTCTACAGATTTTTAAAGTCAGGGAATTCACATTTCATTTCGAATTTTCATTCAAGATTCAATGAATGATTAATGTGAAAGAATTCGACGACATAATGTAATATATTTTTGTTTATTTCTATAAAAAATCTAGACACATTTTTGATTACGATAAATATTATCATTAACCTGTTACTCTGACAGTTATTTGACACTTGTGGATCAGGTTTATGCATTTGAATGTTTGAACACTCCGGTGATGTTTATTGATAAAAATAATTGTACAGTATGCGTAGTTGATGCCTAAACTAAACATAATATTCGTCTATCTAATCCTTATTACAGACTTTTCTCATTTGTGAGTAGTTTGAGGCTAATCCAATCAAATCGGAGTGTACATTGAAAGAGGTTTTATATATTGAGAACTCGACAAGTAGTGGATGAATAAGAGAGATGTATTTCAGGTTATTGGTTAATAGGACAAAATATTTTCAACAAAATATTTGGCCAAGTTCACATCATTCACTAATTTGTTCCGCACCAATCAACAATATGCATTGAATGATTATTCCATTCACCAACAATGTAGAAAATAATGTCAAGTTAAGAATTCATAAGTCAGACAATTCAATGTAATGTGAGATGTTGTAATGAGATATTAGGAATCGCATTTGTTGCTTATTGTTGACAAGTTTAATTAATAGTCATGCTTATTATTGATATCTATTATATTACAAATGTATTAGGAAACAAAGAATAAACTGAACAATCGTTGATATGTAAATTTGTAACATTCAAAGTGTGGTAGATTTGCGTTTAACTTGAAGGTATGTTTTGAACTGGATCAGTATGTGTACAAGAATAATGCAAGAGAAATTTGAGCGATTGACGCAATGAGTACATAACGAATGCACTCATGTCTGATAATTGAATCAATGTGCAACATCCAGTAGGACACGAATAAAACAATCTAACAATCGAAACTGGTTGATAACGTAAACTTTCGAATGCCATGCAATAATATGATTTGAGTTTGGCGGGTAATAATAATTTCTCGATACTTGTGAAACACGATTTCCATCAAAATCCTCTAATTTAGTGGTTATTTATAATGTCGGCATATTGTAATGTTATTATTTACTACTGTTATCCCTACAGACATTCTTTGAAACTATTGTAAATAAATTTCAACTCAAATTTAATACATGTAACTGTTGTTCAAGTCAGGAAGTCAGTTGAAAAAAAAATAGACTCTAATATTTATCTAGTCAGTAATTTCTGGTTACTTTATTTTGGTTAATCTAATTTATTTGTTCTAAATACATAATACTGGACGCCATAATGTGTTATTTAAAATGTACAAACCTTAATTAGTATAATTTACATAAACAGTTGTTGGAAAGTGTTGAATTTAAGCTTCGAACCCTTGAGATACTCATTTGGTAGCTAGTTTTTGAATTTTCCTGATGATACACACTTCAGCGTATGGACAAATGTGAAGATGCTAATACTATCTAATATTTGCTTCATGATTGAAATCGATGTATTCAATGAATATTATGTTCAATATCGAAAGTAACTGCGTATCCCTGAAATTCGGTAGAAATAAATGTGAACTCATTCAACAAGATTATTCAAAAAAACAAAAGTAAAATCTGGTTATTTTTCAAAAACTTAATTTAGTTCACTTATTGTTGGGGACGTTAGATTCTTAGAACTCACTGGGAAAAGGTTTTAATTTTGCTATTTACTTCTGTAAGTTTGAATAATTATGTTTTCGAGCTAAGAGACGCTCAGTTGACCTACAGCTTACATTTTTCACTCGGAAATCCACCATTATCTTTGGTTGACAGATCTTTTTAGTACGTTATTTTGTGGCTCACACCAAAAGCGTTCTTATCATTGTGCAAACAAGCTTGATTTGTGTGAATAGCGACCTGAAATTTTCTGGATGCTTGCAGAATACATTCTTTACGCCTTATCAACGGATTAGAATTGCCTGTTGTGTCAATGAGTCCATGCTCTTCGTTTCATTTACCAAGTAAGCTGATTTCGTGGCAGTTTTAAGCATTTCAGTTGACTAGCATATCGCTTATAAGTGATAGTTAGCTAAACATGCTTGTACAAATCAAAGTTCCTGTTGGAGTTTTACTGAGTTAATTATAATGTTTTTCGTAAAGACCTGTTTTTTTGGAAACTACCCTGCTATTATTCTTTTTTATACCTAACAAATTATCTGTGATACTAGTGAACAATTTCCAGTGTTATTCAATAGATTAGATGTACAATGGAACATAATTATAAAACATTCAATTTGGAGTAATGTTTACAAATTTAAAAATCAAGACACATTTATCACTTTAGTAGTCGATGAATAGTTTAATGTAATTTATCTAAATACTTTTTCATAAAAGTATAATGGAGATCATTGTCAAGTATAGGCAGTAACTACCGAAGACACTAGGTGAGGTTGCGCGAAAAACATTAGATTGATCAGAGTTACACATCAACACCGCTGGATGCTGACAACTCAGTGGTCCAGAGGCTAAGTGATCGCGCGCAAGGACGTAGGTCCTGAGTTCGATTTCCGGATGAAGCCAGGGGTCATTAGTTCTCACTGCTCATGAGTCTCATGTCAAGACGAAAAGGCAGTCCTGTGATTCCAAGTTTTAACGTCAATCGAACAATAATTCATCACCTAAAAAGACATTTCCAAAAAGCACTACAAGTTTGTGAAGATTGTTAAGTTACACATTTGAAATCTTGAATCGATCATTGTTAGACCACCATTAGAAACCTGGAAGCACTGGACGGCCGTTTTTTATGCCGGTATGGGAATCATCAGCCAGGAGGAAGGTATCTCTCATTAGTTTTTCTATGACATTTATATCTGTCTTCATGGTTTCCATTTCCTCAGAGGTCCTTATCTGGAATCTCATAGTGACAGAAACACATGACATTTGAATTTTATGACAATCATATTACATATTAATGAGACAAGTGATTTATAGGGTTAATCATGTGGTGTATTTCGATTATTGTACATTGACATCTTAAAATGACAGCTAATAACTGAACATCCACTGAAAATGATTCAGTGGGTAGATTAGCAAAAAATATTTTTTTCAACTACTAGCTCTCCTGTTAATCACTTGGCAGATTGCTACATGTATAACTATGTAGACTTATATTCAATAGTACATGTTTTAGAATTGGACTGTTCAAAATAAACAAACTGACAACGTGATGCTTAGTTATAAGGATTTCATTTATTCATAAAAATCTAATGAGATATTAAGTTTTATTTTGAATTACCAAACAGTTGTTCAGCAAAGAAAACATTCTTATGGATGACACTCTATACTAAGATTTTAAAATTGTATTTATAATGATTCAAAAGATATACGAATCTATGAGATTACGAAAAGAAATTACATTACACAGTGTTCAAGGATTTCAAGCAGTAAACTATAGTTGCCTTTTATTGACAGAGAATAATGCTAACCGAGAGTACTCAAATTTCACACACTTTAAAGTTATTTTTCAAATTAAGCGTTCACATACAAGACTGTAGGTCCTAGGTTCAAATCCTGCATGTGAATGTCGTAGCCGTGCATTACCGATGAGTCCTATACTGGGACGAAACGGATGTCCAATGCGTACAGGTTTCTAATAGTAGTAGTCTAACATTGATCGACTCACCACATCACTAAAATAGACATATATCATACAAAATAACTTAAAATATATCTATGAATTAACAAATGTCTGTCAGAAAGAATAATTTATAAACACTGAGCAAATTTGTTAAGTCAATCAACTTTCATTGGATAATAAAATACCATAAAATATCCAATCACATATGAACTCAGATAATAAAAATAATCTTTGAGATCCTCAATTAGCCTATTGAAAAAAAGATTTTATCAAAGTATACATATAAATTTAAATGTATCAGCTTATACATATACATATATATTTATATATATACATGCATATTTATTGCAAATGATAACAATAAAAGAACAATTTACTCAAATTAGTCTATCAACATTGAAATTAGATTTGAAAAATAAAGCATATTAAACAATTAAAAATTAAGTTGTGTGTTAAAATTTATTGTTTTCATTGTAAAAGAATATATCATATTTGTTAAGCAGTAGTATAACTTATCCGCGTACACAATATAGTCTTGATAACTAAAAAAAACAAAAAACATGAATAAATCAACAACATCAATAACAAATAAAACAGAAAATTTTCTTGCTCAATTTAAAGACAACAATTCGAATTCATTGAAACATTTCACTGCTGCACAATTTGTTGAAGTATGGAATCATTATGATACTGATGGTGAGTTCATTGTAATTTATAATGATAAAATATGAAAAAGAAAAAAAAATTGAATTTTGAACTAATGTAAAGTATCAATAATTAATTTTTTTTTTCTAGAATAATGTAGAATTATTGTAAATAATTGAACAATTCATAAATAGAATCATTTGATAGATATTTACTATGATCATAAGACTACTGCACAAGGTAAACTGATTAGTGAGTCAGCTACAACGCAGAACTTCGCAAGTACGTACGTACGTAGGTAAATTAGTTCAAGCTGATATAGCACACCAACACAGAGATGCAATAATCAATTCAGATCACATGATAGTGAAGGAAAAAGAAGTATTTACGATAATCAAAAGGATTAGGGGTCGATGATATCATTCAACAAGTATATCCACGTGAAATAAATTCCAAAAATAACAAAGAGATGATGAAGAATTCAGAAGATTAGAGTTTCAACGAAGGCATAGATCGGATTCCCCTGCATTTGTAAACGATTTCGAGCCATGTCGTTCAATGTCTCCAACCATTGTCTAACGGACCTCAACCTAGTAGTCTACACATACCGACACGACTTAGTCTAGTTGTCAAGGATTTGTGCCTCATGATAAAAGGGATATTCAGTGCTCTTGATCTCGCATTATTCCCCAACAGATTGGAAAATTACTTTTCTCACCATGAAAAATTGGTTATTTGTTAGTTCAATAAACCCATCAGTTTTACTAGACCACATAGTGCAATAAACTAACCATGCGTGGCAAGAAGGACATTTAAGAATACTTAACATTTTAATGTAATAAGATTTAATTCCACTACAGTTAGAACTACTCTGACTTATTATCCTCTCACATGTTTGTAGATTAAACTCAGAAATTGAAACTCGTATAGCGCTTTTCTTTTAACCTCATCACTTTTCATACGAACGTGTGAATTGTGTATGCGACTAATTTGAATAAACATGGTGAATATGTACATAATCATCTTTGTCTCATATTATTACATTTACGTGTTTTAGTTTGAGTTCGGAAACAAAATAATTTCCCATTGAACTTTTGAAGCATTTAAGCATTAACAAACATAATTAATAGAAATATTCAACTTCAAGTGTCTAAATACGTAACTATGCGTATATTTGCTTGTCACCTGTAACCGGAGCATTTTTTCGCTCCACCCAATTTGATTATTTTCAAAAAAACCCAACTGTTTTAAGACTACAACTATGTTCACCAGTTACCCTTGCTTATGAATTAGTGGTTTTATTTAAACTGTCTGTAAGCAAAATATTACACAGTGCACAAAATTCCTAGATATTTTCTTTACTCCAAGTATTAAAATATCAACTGATTTCATTGTGTTGAGCTGAAGAAAAAAATCTTTTTTTTTACTTTGAATTCGTATGTTTATCATTCAAAAATAAAATTAACATTAAATACCAGCTTTTTTATTATGTTCCGAAATTTCCATTTACAACTTTTCAAACAAACTATCGATTTGACTAAAGAATAAATCTGTAGAGCATAATAATGTATTGATAAGATCATCGTAATCCGATATGACAGGAAATGAAAACCTGCACAATAATAGATTAGTTCATATCGGTCATGATTCTGCAACAATTGTAGTTATAACAAAAAATATTTACATATTTTATGAAAGCTATAGAGTTCGTTCAAGCAGTTTGTTTCTATTGACAAAATAAAAACAAAAACAAGAACAAACACTTTTTTGGAGATTAAAATGAATTCATGAGGTATGAGGTTGATTTTTTATGAGCTACATTTAAATGAAATGCATCTAGTTCGACCGGAATATCAATATAAACTTATTGATTTTTTTTTTTAAGAAAATGTTCATCCAAAGATTTAAATCAAGATTTTTAACTGAGTACTTAGAAATAACTGGAGAAGCCAGTTGATTATGTAATATGGCAAAACTATGTTAGGCGTAAATAATGATAACAAAATTCGAAAACAGTCAGAAATGAGCTCACTGAGTTCACAAGTTGCAGTCAAATACAGAATGACAAAAATAATGACAGAGACTCTTGTTGTATGAATGCCACCAAAGTAGGTAAAAGCTACATGCTAACTGTTTTTGGAATTGAATGATTGTATTTCTATTTTTCATCGTGTTCATAGCTTTCATAAATCTTAATATTACATTTGTGAGCGGATTAGGCATTACTTTGAATACAATCATTTTATTCCACTTGATAGTCTTTTCTCCTTCACCTTTAAAATGTTGTGTTCAGTAAAGTATGAAGAAAAATATTCAAACACAAGGCTGAAACATTATATTTGTACCTAAAATGAACTAATAGTGAACTAATAAATGCCTTAATCAATAAAGCCAGACAGTCGTAATTTGTGCCCTAGTCTAAAAACGTGTCTCGAAAAAATATCATACCATATCTTTTTCACCTATTTTAGTCAATTAGTCCGAAGGTCCTGAGTTCGAAGCAGGAGTTTTGGATGCGCGCTGCTGATGAGTCCCATACCAGGACGAATGGGCAGTCCAGTGCTTTCAAGTTTCTAATGGTGGTCTAATATTGATTAATTCATGACTTAAATATTATTTTACAAGAATCACAGTAACTTGTAATTATTTACTATTAACTTTATTTGAAATTATTTACAATGCCATCAACAGTTGAATTAAGTGTTGACCATAAAATAAATGCAATTATATAAACATTTATAATTCAGGTATGAAATACCTTATAGCTATTAGGAGGTCAGATGTTGTAGTTAGATAATCCTGAACTTGGATTTCATGATACTTGTCACTTATCAGCACTATCTATCGATAATCTTTAGTGAATTAGTGATATTCATTGAATTAGGCTCCGTTTAGTCAAGCTTCATATCTTCAGCTGACCTCTTGTTTTCAACCAGTCCAAAGTTTCTTACTGGCTACCTTCAACTATTCAATATAACACCGAAGTGAATGCCACGATGAGTTATCAAGACTAATGATCAAATTACATCTTCAGTGATTAAATTCGAATAACACAATGAATTGAATAAACAAGACACTGGTCACTTTGCAATGACCATTTACTTGTAGCAATAAACTAGGGAATCGAAACCTCTCACTTGAGAAAATCAGTACATTATAGTATGTATTTATATCTCTTCCACTAAGGTATTTTTCTTGACAAAATATTCTCGATGATTAAATTTAGAATAACACATAAACGAAAAATATTGTTCTCCATTAGATGGTCATCAGGTTTTACTCTCTAATACACATGAATATTTATGATGAAAATGTTAAACCGATCAAGACAATTCAAGTCAACAATCACAATGAGATGAAATAGATTACGTCACTACACATATAATAGGCAAAAGTACAAGTTGATAGTAGGAGAACAGGTGTACTGATAGTAGTAAGAAAAATAAAATATGATAACAAACGTTTTTACCTATTTGAAATCATCAATCAATCATTGTTAGATCACCATTAGAAACCTGGAAGCACTGGACGACCGTCAAGTCGTTTTGATTTCTGTGAAATGAACATTCACTTTACAAGCCATCAATAACTTTTTATTCAAATATATCAATGCCTATTTTGAAATAGTAAGTTTATTAATAACAACATGTAAATATCAAGTTACGAGAATAGAATTAAATCTATTTGTATAATAGATAAAATTTAAGCAGTATGGAGATAGATTGTTTAAGAGAAAAAAATAAAAGATGTCTAGTTGATTTTATAAATTTACAGTTGAGTGAATAGTCACAGAATTTAGACGAAAAAAAATGAAACAGCAACGATTATTTTCAGAGTATCGGCTTTTTGTTTGTGTTTGGAGATGCATCAATCTCAACACACAAGTATTGTTCATTTGAAGTATATCAGCCTTTTCTGAATAAATGTTTGTACATGGGAAAACGGAATACGTTCTTCTTTTCACCTGCTAGTTCTCAATTAATATCATTCTGTATGAATATACTGAACACATTTACAAACATAGATAAATGCTGGCATTCGCAAGCGATACCGAAGTTTCCGAGTTTAATTATCGCGTGCGCGGTTGTGGATATACTCTACGGAAGGGCTTCATACTTAGAAGAAAAGTGTTTTGAATGCTTCTGGTTTGCAATGTCGGTCTAGCTAATATCTGTTCATGATTTCAACTTTTTAAGAAACAATATCGTGTTTCATTGAAAGGCCATTGAGTTTAAGATTTTGAAGTCATGTCAGATTATTGAATTCAACTTATGAAAAAATACTTAATGTTTTTCTGTGTACATCACAACTGGCACTTATTACAAATGTTCCAATAATCAATCAAAAGAATAAGTAGTTAGAAATTTCACTAAAAATAAGGTTCTTTTTATGCATTACATAAAACGACATGAAGCGCTGAACGAATTCAAATTGATCATATCATTTGACAGTAGTTCATTGATATTCTTCACTGAACGTATGTATAAAAAAAAAATTAGGATTTCAATTTAGGCAATAAAAACTGGTAATTTACTTGAGATGTTTGATTAGTTTCAAGGTACCCGAAAAAATTTGAGCAGTAGTAAATTAAAGGGAAACATGGACTGACTATAGGTTAATTTTTGAAATCACGAATCGATCGATGTTAGACTACTATTAGAAACCTGACAGCAGTAGTGGATGGCTGTTTTGTACTTGTATGTGACTAGTCAGCAGTGCACATCCACTGCCTCCGCCACTCATGGAAATCAAACCCAGGACCTTTGGTCTCGTACTCGACAGCTTAACCTCCGTACCACTGAGAAAACATCCTCCTAGATTCCTGATAGTGTTCTAACATTGCTCAATCCATGATTTTAAAACTAACCCAACAATCTCCACAAGTCTATAATGCACATTTTTTAATTAACAATCGTATGTGTAGAGCTATGAAATTGAATGTATGTGAAAAAGTTTGAAACTTGTTAGTTTATCAACAATTAGAGAGAAGATTGAATGTAAAACCTCGATTTAGTTGAGTGCATTCATGTAGATTCTACTCAGGTTAGGAAATAATATTTGGGAAAATATAATAAGTTTTGAGGAATCTGGTGTACACTATATGTTTAATTATTTGAAAGTTGATCACGACCGAAGACAGAGTATTACGTGATTTAAATTTACCCTTTAATTAATTTTACAGTATAATGCTCCGACGTAAGATGTTAAAACAATGTCATTCTGTAAACAATGTAACTGTTCCCACTTGAGCAGCTGAATCGATAATGAGTAAACTAACCAGAAATACTACTTGTGAACAAAACTAATGCGACAAAAACCTAACAGTTTGCATGAGTTATGAACGCACAATTACCTGACAAAAATATCATGACAAGCAATTGACACATTTGTTAAACACCATCATTAATCAAAGTTTGCCTTATCAGTCTTACTTATAGGCATGCTGGCACAATATATATGTGTATAAATGTATCAGTAAAGCGAATCTTGATTAATCTTATTTGGGTCTTAATAGCATAAACACAATTTCGTTGGATAATTAAGTCCTTTTCAACGTTTTTGTGTTAACTTCCTGTTTTAAAAGCCTTATTTCGGTTTTGTAATTATATTTCAACTAACAAATGTTCACTCATTTTGTTCATGCTTATTTTTTAACATTTGTTTATTGAGTAGCGGCTTCTTTTACTCTTCTCATCTTTTATTACTACCAAATGTTGTACAAACTATTTCCACAAGGAATGTATATATTTGTAGGTTATGTCTGATTTCTTGAACATCATTTATACTGACGCCTGTTTAAATCAAATCCTAACCAAATGCGGTTATGTAACTTACATACAAATTACAAACAGTTGACAAGATGTTAACCAATGAACATGAATTTATTATGCCACTGTTAAAATCTTTAGTTTTCTTTTTTTTCACGAAAAAGACACGTTTATTACATAATAGCATATTTAAAAGATGAGTAGTCATCTGGAAGTTGAGAATATGATTACTGTTAATGTAGTAGTAGTAGTAGTAGTGAGGTGCGCGCTACTTATAAGTAGCATATGACGCGAGTAAAAACGTAATGCCTGGCAGCAGAAGATGGGAGAATATCAAGAAAGGAAGAGCGGGAACACAAAGGGATTTTTATGAAACGCATGAACAGTGAAATGTCAGTCGATGGATAGATGTTTTGCAACAGGAACAGTCCAGTTCGATATGATGGATTGATATTTTCCAAATTAACGATTTACGATATGGCTTTCCTATTTTACCAATTAACTCTGTAATTTGCGATAAATACAATTCGGTTGCCCACACTTGCGTTCTCCTCCACTACAGTAGTAGTAGTAGTAGTAGCAGTAGTAGTAGTAATAGTAGTAATAGTAGTACTAGTAGTAGTATTATTAGAGTTTTATGCATTCAAACAAGTTTTACGTGGATTTCGTAAGCTGCATCATATCTGATGCATGTTGAATGAATAATTAAATATGTATCATATAATGAATGATCTAATGAACCGCTGAATCAAAATAAAATAAAATAAAACAGTGTTCAATGATCAAACATTGTCGTCATCGTCATCATTATCATCAAGAACAAAACAAAATAAGAATAACAAATAAAGACGAATACTACACGATTAGTAAACATAACTTCCCAATGTAAGTAAACAAAAACATACTACAATCAATCAACTAAGCCGCCAAAAAAAAAATAATCACCACCGTATTGGCTAAGTATTTGTAATCAAAAAATTTATTTTACTACAATCTTAAGTTAATGCAATTTTATAAATTTGTCAGTAATTTGTTATGAATATAATTATCTTTTTTTTTTATCATTTATTATTATTGTTATTATTATTTCTGTCCTATTCACCTTGAAATTGTGGAGTTAAAAGGAGAGAATGACTAAAACACAGAGATGTTTGCTAAAGAAAAGAATAATAATAATAATAATAATGAAACTGTTGTTTATAGGCTATTACTGAATCAAAAATAGCAAAACAATATGTTAATATTTTCCCTATTGAATGGAAATAGAACTATATATATATATATATATATATATATATATATATATATATATATATATATATATATATATGAATGATGGACTTGTGAACTTGTTGATAACAAGTAATACAATGCAATTTAGCACAGTTAAACAAACAATTATTGATAAATTGAATTTAAGTTCGAAATGATAAAAGTCAAATTATTTATTTATTTAATTTAACTATTTTTGGGTTCAAATTAAGATATTCTTTTGAGTTCTTTGTTTTTTTTCTTTATGAAAAATTCTGTTTGGGGTATGTTTGAAATTTTTCTCTTATATAGTTAGAAAGCTATCAGAAATGTGACTTAATATAAAGAAAATGTAGGTGCTTGAGGAAAAATCAGTTTTTTGTTAGTGTATTTATAGATTAAACTCATGATGAATGCTTAGTTTTCTGCCAAGTAGTAGGCTTTTATTTCTAAGTTTATGTGAATTTGGTAATATTCATATGTTTGTTGATACATAGACCATATTTAATATGCATGAAAAAAGAAATTTTTAAATCATACATACAAAACCATTAGAAACCTGGCAGCTGTGGACGGCTTTAGAGCTCATCGGCAGTGAACATTTACAACTCCTGCAACCTGCAGGATTCAAAACCAGGATCTATGGTTTTATGTGTGAACGGCTAACATTTTACCTTCTGGTGGTCTAACAATGGTTAATTCATGATTTCAGTAATAACCAAGATCCGTAAATTGATCAGAGTTAGACATTAACCCCATTGGATGCCGGCCCAGTGGTCCGATTGTTAGACGTTCGCGCACAATACCCAAGGTCACGGGTTCGAATCCTGTGAGGTGCAGGTGTCATGGATGCGCACTGCCTATTGAGTCCCAGTATAAATAAAGATAATACAGAGAACTTTTATTTTGCAAACTTATGTTTCTGGATATCACATACAATATCGTATGCCATTGATCATTTGACAATGAATTTTGATTGAGTGTTATAAATGTTTTACTCACAACACTGATCATGTCTACTTGATCATCATTTTATTCATACAAAGCATACAAGTAATCATCCAGACGCAATGATTTAATATTCATCTGTTGTAAGAATGTTCAGTTGTGTACTTTTAGCGTTCTCGTTTAAGGTGAATAATCATTTTAAACAGTAAGAGGATATTAACCTTAAATTTGTTGAAAATAAAAATATTATGTACAATTAATTTCGCTCCAGTTTAAACATGTTACATCATATTATGTGGGGAAATTAATGAAAGAGTTACAAAATTAGTCGTTTGATTTCAGATCACTGATTTGATAGTTGCATTATTGTTTTTAATTATAATTCAATGTGGATTTATGTATATCTTTTGAAAGGGTTCTGACAACAAAAATGTTATAAGCCTCTATATTTTGTTACTCTTAGATGAAACACCTACTCCCCACTAATTCCAAACTGACTGGTACAGTTATAAAACTACATTTCGAATACTTATCGCAATATTAACAATAATAATAATTTCATTTAAAATTGTACAAACATTTCACCTGACAAGCTGTGAGCAGATCTTACCTAACAAAACACTAACAACTCATTTAAACTGATATATATATATATATATATATATATATATATATATATATATGCTTTGGACTGCTATCTGTTTTATTCTTACAACCGAACAAAAGCTATTTGAAAGAAGAAAGTCGAATTTTGACATTTAATTTGAGAATTCTATTTTTGTAAAATTTAAGTTTGCTTCCTTTCTTTATAGAAATATTATATATATATATATATATGTATATATATATTTCACAATTTCAATTATATAAATTTACCCTGTATTGTCTAGGGCAATTTTATATTGATTTTCAGGAGAACCAAAGAGACTGCACACGTTTTACCATAACTATATGAACAGTTCGGCTCAATTCTGTGGTGCAACCACACAGGTACCTGATAATCTGATAGACCATTCACACCATTTGTACATACACAATGGTATATATATATATATATATATATCCGATCCATGATCGCGTCAATCAATATGCACCGCATGAACAGGCCATTTCGACCCATCCCGCTTACATGATTGTCAAACTCACTATTATTAGCAATAGTGATGTGTAATACAGGACTCCAATGTAAATGGCCCTCGGGTATGTTGCAAAACAACCAGCTATATCAATGAAATCAGTCGCCCTGCTAACCAATTTTGTATATGGACTGTTAACAATGTTTACTAAAGCAAAGCCAAGCCATCCATAATATATTCACAGCAAAACTCTAGTCTCATAGGAGACCTTCAGTTCTATACATATCATTATAGCATATGGGGTACATGTATATGACGTAGGAGGATAGTAGATGTATAAATATAGATCAGTTTATATTATGAATTAAAATAAACTTATTCATTTATTCGATTGACTTGAATCTTTGTTTCTATTTTTCTAATTCAAATAGGTAATGGTTACATTGAAGGTTCAGAATTGGATAATTTTTTACGTGAATTCATTTACAGTGTCTTTTCTGAAGAATTAGGCAATGAAGTAAGTATGAAATAGAGTTTTCTGTGAATTCATTCTTCATTGATTGTGTTGAATTGTTCACATTGATGTTATTTTTTAAGACTAGAAATGTATTAATGTGCATCTTTTGTGGACTGGCTCAATGTTAGTTTTAGGTTACATGCAATATGAACAGAGATAATGAGTGGTTAGTGAAGCGTAGTGAGTTCGAGATGTAGGTACACTCGGCCGATAAATCCCGAATAGGACAAAACACACATCCTGGATCCCACTGCTTGCCCACTATCCATCTCTGCTAATAAGATCTTAGTTAATTCGACAGTTCTTTCATTACTACATATTCATGCATCTTGGATTCTACTGCTGGTCACTGTCAGTGTATGCTAATAAGATTTTAGTTAATTTGAGAGTGCTCTTATTATTGTGTATTCCTGTTTCAAATTAATTTGGCTTAACTTTTCAGGTTTCAACGAACTGAATCATTTTGAATTTAAACTGCTTATTCGTTGATCATCTGTTTAATTTTATGGTAGGATATCAGATAATAATTTATGCATTTTATTTAGTACTGACAATAAAAGTTAGTAAGTAAATCGGCAATAAATTGAATCCATTTATAAGTCATTCACATGGTTAATATATGATGCGTGGTTTTTCTAAGCGAACAGTTACAGCAACGAAAAGTCACACAAATATTTCACGGATAATCAGGTAATGTTTATCTACAATCGTATTCCTTTCTCTGTAGATAGAAAATGAAATTTTGAGCATATATATGATCATGGATAACTTCAAAAACTGTCTCTGCACAAATTTGATGTCTAATGTCCAACTAAATCATCACAATACCGAAGGTCACGGGTTCGAATCCTGCGAGGTGCAAGAGTTGTGGATGCGCACTGCTGATGAGTCCCATACCAGGAAGAATCGGCCATCCAGTGCTTCCATGTTTCTAATGGTGATCTAACAATGATTGATTGATGATTTCAAATGTGTAAAAACACAAACCTCCAAAACTCTGCACGAAAAAAAACATTTCTCTCTGATAGCATTATGGATTATTTATTTAACACTGCAAAGCTATGCTCAGAAATATAATGCGTTTCCTTTGTAGTTAGCGTTATATAATTAAGTTCAAAAGAGTAATTGAATTGGTCATAACATGGTAAAACCCAGACGCGTCATAATTTATTTTTCTTCAGTTAACCCGTTGTAGGACGATTAAGAATCACAGAGTGTACTATTCCTATGTTTAATGTTCTTATCAAAAAATTTCTTCAACTAGTGAACCTCATGATTGAACTAGACTAGTTCCAGACATGGTAAATTTATGTATTTTAGTATTTACCTGTAAAATCTCACAAGTAGTCATACTTACAAAATAGATCGTGTAAAACTAGGTGAATTGTTTTAGGTTGGTTCTCTTTCAGTAGAACAATACTTTACGAATATGGTGAAACTCTACTGAAAAATCCGCAGTATACTGAAGTGACCTTATAATCTTTTGTAGTATATATGTTATTTATGATTTAATTAGTAAATAAAAAATTTATAAAAGATTTAAATCACAAACGCTCTCCATATAACTATAATGACAAAATCAAAAAGCATGCTCACTAGAAACTAGCTTCGTGAGGAATCTTCACCGAATTCTAGTGAGAAGATGTGAACAATAAAGATCAGCCTAGTCGGGTGTACGCAGTAAGTACCGAAGACAATGCGTGATGTTGAGTACAAGCCTTAAATCGATCGAAAGTCAGACATTCATATGACGCTTACTCAGTGATCTGGAGGTTAGGCATTCGCGCGCCAGACCGCAGATCCTGAGTTCGAATCCTGCGAAATTCAGGACGTTCACTGCTATTGAGTCCCGTACCAGGACGAAACGGCCTTTCTTATGGTGTTGTAGATTGATCGATTCATGATTTTACGTGTGTAACATATATATCATATAATTCATCAAGTCTGTCTACCTGATATTGAAGTTAATATTTTTCGGATGAAAATACTCATGAAATTATCAGGAGAAAGGCAATGGAAAAACGGGCAGTTAAAGAAATCAATGAATGAATACATGATTGCATCATCAAACCATCAATTAGTGTTGTTTCAGTAAATTGGGACTAAAACAAACTGATTATCAATCTCCATATGATCATATCAGAACATTCATATTAATTTTGTCAGTGAGAAAATGTAACATTTTGGTTAGATTTTTGATCAAATATCTTGTAGAAAAGATCAAATTATCTCATCATTTCATTCAAAATGTACAAATTACTAACATTTAGAACTGTATGAATGTGTCTATTTTCTTATCCAATTGAAATCTATCAAACTATTTGACTTTCTTCACACCACTGCATATAATATACATAGACTCAATTTATGTGGTGAATTGCAGATTGGTGAAATTAAATGTTCTGATCATTAAACTAATTAGGAGATAGTATAATATTAGAGTAACGAAGACAAACAATCGTATTCTCTCAGTGCAATATTGTTATCTTAACTAAAAATATATAGCTTTCACCCCATATATAATTTACTGTTACTACTGAAATCAACATTTTAGTAATATAAAACTTTTGAAAATATTCTCTATGTTTCAACAGTGATTTTCACTGTAAACTAACAATATTCACTGTATAATTAAAATATCTTTTTTGTTAATTATAATTGTAAAGATCTGGTTAGTCTGTTGACAAATGAGCAAGAATACAACAATATATTTAGACGAAATTATCTATTTGTTTAGTTAGCTTATCACAGACAAATGTTTGAAAAAATGAGCCGAAATTCAAAAATTACTTTTCGTGTGTATTTAAACATTGCTTAAACAAACAATAAGGCATATTAAAGTCTTTTTTTGTTCAATATTCATTTAATATGAGAATGAAATACTTTTTTATAAGATAACGAAACTCAACCGTACATATGTAATTATTGCTGAATTCTCGGACTCAACTGAATTTTATCGTTGTTTTTCAAATTATTAAAAAATAACACAACACATGATATGTTTACTGTTTAAATTGAGAGAAAAATGAACACTCATTCACATTAACATGTGTGATATAAATAAAAATCTGATTTCAATGGCGACTAAATTTTCAAAATTCAATGTACAATGTTTTATGTTATTCACCGACAATATATACTTTTATCTACTTCAGTTGCATTAAAAATATTAAGAGACGGGTATGAGACAGTCAAATCTGGAAATCTGGTAGTACCAGTTATTTTCATGTTAACTTTTATTAACAAAATGCTGAATTTCTTTGACGTCACACTAAGTAGACCAAGTGGCGTTTCGTTACATAGAAGCGTGCACAAAAACTGTCCCTCTATTTACCGATATACTAACTTTCAAAGTTTTTCACCTATCTACTACAAAAGAAACTTGGTTAGATATCCCACAAGCGGAGCAAAAATGATCGGTTCATTGGATACTTTAAGTCTGTAGCTGGAATGTATTAAAAACTTACTGATCACAATCAGCAACTCCAGTATGTTCTTAAAGAAGTACATGTGTACCGTAAAAAAGAACGAAGCCGGAAACTTATATTATTCGAAAGTATAATTCAAGGCGGAACAGGCCAGCGACGTCCTGCATGATAAATTAGAGAAAGTAATTAGTTCGACATTCTGCACAACAAATCTTGCGTTATTCTTCTTGAGTCGGCCGATAACCTCTGCGCAAACGAAGGATAAGTCACCTAGATTGGCTCCCTAAATTCAGCTGCTCCTAAGCAGATAGCTATATAGGGAGTAATTTCAGATAACGTAACCAATGAAGGAGTGAATATCTGCCACTGTGGTTGGCAGAAGACTAAATAATAACAATACTCATGATTGATAGCCGTGATAACATAGATAAAGCTGAACCATTTCGAATAGTCTGTCGAATACCTCCATCGTTTCCCATCCGAGTTTGATACCGTCTACTACATATAGCAGAAGCCATGAAGATCCGAACATTCAATGCACATTTGTCTATTCAGAAGAAATGCGTGACACCCCTGTCTCTTCCTTAGCTGGATATAACTGAATAAACGATCTTCTTTCATCAGTAGTATCATTTTCACACCGCGTATTGGTTTGTCTTTTTTCGCCTCTTTGAGGTTTATAACTCTTCTTTATCCAATTAATTTACATCCTTTTGAATACATAATCCTAATAGTGCTTTGGGATTATTATTCTAAGTCTATTTATTCAGGTTGGACCTATTACTTCCTTCGTTGAACTATTGACAAAAACTTTTACTGTCCTATTTTATTATTCTTACAATTAATAGTGGTATACCTGTATTCCTACTATCAACGAGTACTTTCACCTATTATGTGTAGTTACGTAATCTATTTTATTGTGATTATTGACTCATAAATAGACTAGTTCGGCTTAACGTTTTCATATAAATATTCATTTATATTAGAGAGATTATGCCTGTTGATAATCTGGCTGAAAACAATATTGTTCGCATATGTCAGTGTTGTTCTAATTTTCCTAATAGTAATCTTTATAATGAATTGTAAATTTTGACTCCTATATAAAGTACAGTTTCTAAATTTTATATATACAAGCAAGAATTTTCAAATCTCCATATATACTCCATGTACACTGTTATTTTGATTTAAAAACTTAGCCACACTTAATGTTGTTCGGTTAATTATATAAATAGAATTGAAAAGCTTTATTTCTTATTCCCATAGACCGTGATTTTTGAACTGTATGCTAGAATTAAATAGGAAAAATATGTGTTCACTGTTTCCATAACTTGCTGATCAGTCACATTTTAGGATGAAATAACTGTCTATGCAATTCTGATCTCCAAAACTTATCCAACTTAGGTACTTTCATGACATGTACCATAAAATTACAAGTGATTGAATGCTCTCAATAAGTGGTTTTTGACAGTAATATTAAAACAAATAATTCGTGTTGAATTAAAAAAAAACTAGATTGCTACTCTCAGCTTATCTTTACAAAATATATCTTGATTTTCACTGATGTATACATATTTTTACAAATTATTTGTAGTAAACATTTCATTTTATAAGCTAGCAATTAGAATGCCAACTTGAAAGTTCATCTATGTTCTTATTGAACAACCTATATTCAAACAAAAACATTCTTTCTTTTTTTGACAATTGAACATTTACAATCACAAGAACTAACTTTATTCGTCAATATTTTCAATTTCCTTATTTTTTTACTGATTCAAATTTATGTGTTAGGTACTCTCTACTTTTTTTCTCTACTTGTTTTTCTACTCTAACCATAACTTTGAATATTTTCACTAAATATATAATTTTGTTTTTATTAATAATTTATTTTTTTTTTCTAGACTATACCTAATGATGAATTGGAATTGATGAAAAAAGAATTTATGGAAGCATTTGATGAAAATTCTGATAATCGAATTGAGCTTACTGAAGTATGTGTTTGAGTAGTTAGTAGTAGTAGTATAATAATCATATCATAAGTTTACTAAAACTTGTTTATTGTAGGCATTGATAGAAGTAGTATTAGTAGTAGTAGTAGTAGTAGTAGTAGTAGTAGTGTGAGTAGTATTCAACATCAGAAATAATCTCAGACTAGTTTCCTATACGCATATCGAATTGTGGTCTTCCTAAATTGAATTTATAAAAAAAAAGCACTTTGTTTCATATTTATTTATCAAATCAGTCAAGTATGTGTTTTTTTTTAATGCAGACAAGCTAAAAAATAATAATAATAATAATAATGGTAAAATCATATTGTACTGCGAGTCAATGAATTATTCGAAAGCCAATTTACTATATGTCTATATATACATATAAGTATATGTATACTATGCAAATGCGTATGTGTGTGTGTGTGTGCGGACGTTGTTTTAATGGTTTACAATATACACGTTATAATAAATTCACGAAAGATGAACAATTGCAATCATTGATTATATTTGAGAGATAAGCAGAAGTTATTCTGGACACTTGGAAGAGATATCATCAACAGTGGATTTGAAAATAAATTGAAAAATTGTCAAGGAGAAAAATAAATGTAGACAAAATAATTTACTAACAGCAATTCATACATCAAGATAGAATTGCATTTTGAAATTTTTACAGTATACAATTGCAAATCAGTGAATAGACTGGTAAAATGTTGGGGACATTAGATCCACTTGGGAAACTCACTTGGAAATATTCTAATTTTTTAATTTAGATTTTCATCCCCGGAAAATCCTTGACTATCGTTGGTTGATGGGTTATTTTAGTACGCTATTTTGTGGCTCTTACCAGAGACGTTTCTATCGTTGTGTAAATAAACCTGATTCGTGTGCTTAGCCACCTCGAATTCTCTGGTTGCTTGTAAGAATACATTCTCTACGCGTTATCAAAACTTCTCGATCTAGTTAGCAGGGCCGGGGACAATCGAATTAGAATAGCCTATCATGTCACTGAGTCATTGTTCTTTGTTTCGTTTACTGAGTAAGGTGAACTCGTAATAGTTTCGAGCATAATAATTGGCAAGCATATCAGTAAAAATTGTAGAATTTCTCATGATTCACATTACCAAGTGATCTAAGCTAGACTCGGATTTAAAAGCACAGAGCAATAGACACCCGTATCACGGTAGTGCGGGACTCGTCGCCAGTGTACATTTAGAAACCTGCTATCGGTGTTTGAACATGAGACTTTGAGTCTCTTTGGTGAAAGCCAAACTTCTGAACCACTGAGGCACATATATAAAGTCAATTAATTGACAATAGATGGCAATCATCTTTTATTCTCTTTGATGAATAAGTGTCGGAGGACCATGGACATGACTGAACAATGGAATATTTCAAGAGAAATATTTATTTATTTGGAAGCTATGTCATCAATTTTAACCACATTATTATTTCAATGAAAATGACTTCGAAATAAAGTAAACAAGATCATTAGAGATTGTTTACGGATTATTGTCCTATTTCAAATATCACAGAAGCTTTTTCATCGAAAATCATGTTCTTTCTAGTAAGAAAATGTTCACACCAATTCTTTTGTTTCTATCCATACTAATTTAGATGGCTAAAATTTTACCGACGGAAGAAAATTTCATCCTGTTATTTCATCGAGACAATCCTTTGGATTCAAGTGTTGAATTTATGAGAGTAAGTATTACAGAATTTATTACATTCTCATATTTCTGTCATCATATTTTTGTCATCAGTAAAAAAACATGAATAAAATAAATATCATAAGATAAATGGTTTATGTCGTTTTAGGATTTAAGCATTTGTTGATGATAAGCTAGTAAAATACTATGAGTGTAAATAACTATGATCAGTTTATTCTTGCTGAATTATTTACAAATAATAAACAGATCTACACTTTGATCTCATGAATGAATCACTGTTAGACCACCATTGGAAACCTACAAGCATTAGACAGCCATTTCGTCGTTGTAGGAGACTCATCAGCAGTGTGTATCCACTACTCCTGCTTCTTACGGGATTCGAACCGCGGAACACTGGTCTTGCGCGCGACGGCGATGATTTCTAATAATTAAATATTTTCTATTCCTTTATCAAAGTACTACTTATACTCCAGCTGTTAGTAGTAAAATTAATTACTGCTGCATTGCATATGAGATATAAGTTGATTAAAGGCAGTAGACATGAAATCTTGCTTCTAGATTTCACAAACAAAATATCCAGCTCAGAGAACGAAACACCACCACAATACTTGTGGTATGCAGCAACCGGTCCTGTTTGATGGATCCGAACCTGCACCATCCAGTGTTGTTTATTATCTAAATATACTTTTTAAAGTGCAGACTACTGTTTGTAGTCAAACGTGAAGCTTAATATTTTGTCAATGTTGAAGTTAAAGAATCAAAGCAGAAATCCGAATAACAACGGTGTTATAATTATTGTGAACATATTTACAAACTATTTAACAACAGAATATTCAAAATACTTTGAAAGATTCTCAATCAGACAGCTCAGTTCTTGAACACAAAAACAATGACAACATTCAAAAGGCATCGTTACACACTGACTGTTCACGATTGGAGAACAAAAATAATTCATCAACAAAGTGGCCACACGTTTCACTCAAGTCTAAATGAACACAAACTATTGATAATTGAACATTATTAGCATAGACGGTTGGCGTCCGGCAGTAGACTCCATAAAGTGCATTTCGTCCAATTTGGGACTCGTTTGTAGCTGCCGAGTGTACCTGCGTCTCAGAGCTGATGTTCACACTCTGCGACTCATACTAAAGACAGTTCACTTTAAACACCAATCCAGTTGACGAGTTTCAACCATTAAAGTAATCATAGCAATGATATTAACAATATGTTTGTTTTAATTACAAAATGGAAAATTCACATTCAAAGACAACGATGTTGATTTGAAATGACAAATAAATGCAAATTACTTTTTCAAAAATAATTTAAAGACTAACAATTGAAAATTGAAAGGTGAAAGGAACATTTTTTTCAACTATAATATTTAACAAAGATGGCTAGTGATTATTTATCTGTCAGAAGTAATAAAAATTTGTAATGCCCTTCTGATTTTAAACATATATCTATATACACATATATTTTAAATATTCTAGTCAAGATAGAAAATTATCAGTTATATTTAAATATTTCATTTTTTGTTAATACTGTTAATGATTTGTAGATGGGATTGTTTACAATCACTAACTTTTGATTGCTTCTAGTCATAACATCTGAGTTTGTTAATTTTTTGTCAGAAAAATATGAAATTTAACACAGAATCACTTGACATCCGACTTCTTCTAGTTGATTAAGTAGAGAGATATGATAAAATGTTAACTGCTTGAGTGAATACAGCAAATAGAATATGCAAACCATTCTAGGCATGAACTAATAACAATCATAAGAATGATGTAAGCTAACTGACATTCTTTTTGTGAATATAAATATAAACGATTGAAATAATACAAGTAGAAATGTTCTAGTGTCAGCGTGCAAGGAAGTGAATATTTTCTCAATTGGATATGATTATGACTGAAATAAACTTGTAAAAATATGAGTAATTTATTAAAAACTGAAACATTGTTAGGTGTTATTTTTGACAGAATTTTATTCCAATCCAGAAATAAAATAAAAAAATCTTGTCTTCTTGACAAGAGAGAAAATGTGTCATTAGTTTCAATTACTTTTAGATGTTTAATCTTAAAAAGACAACCCTCATTGAAAATGATAATTAAGATCAGTGTAATATTCTAAGTTTAGAGAAAATCTATCTAACTAGTTAATAATAATCATGAAAAAAACATTAATAGTCCTTAATTTACACCTATTTCTCTTTTAATCACATCATTGGCATAAACTGTTTACTGGCTGTGTTCGATTCAAAAACTGGGCTCACCAGTTTAGTGACTCATGATCTGACCCCTTTTCGATAGGACGGTGTCCAGTAATTTATGAAACAAATCTTCCCTTCAAATTATTATTATCATACTTAGGCGAACCCTGTTAGTGCGACAGTGGTAGTAAGAAGCTGAATACGATTTTGAGGATGAACTTATTTCATGCATTCATTTAGACAGACAGATTGACTATGAAAAGCAGACAAGCAAGGCAAAGCAAAGTGAAGAAAGTGAGACAGCTAACTGAATGAGACTAGACATGACTATGTATTTATAGTTAGCCAAATATAAGCTAAGGACAGAGTAGGTTGGAGAATACTGGTCGGTGGCCTATGCTCCATTAAGGGTAACAGGCGTAAGTAAGTAAGTAGGTATAAGCTAGACATTGAATAAGCAAAGGACGCATACAAATACATGCTTGAATTTAAACAACCAAGAGTATATTAGTCACTAATCGACAAGATCAAAAGGTAAGTAATTAAAGCCTCAGGCAGAAAAGATTAGTTAATTTTTTTCCTGAAATCTAGGACAAGATCTATGGGCTCAGCATATTGGTACACACATTATGAATGTAATCCTCGTTTATTTAAAAGTAAATTTTAAATCTACACGGATGTTAGGCAGTTACTCACCGAAAACAATAAATAAGGTCGCGCAATATCATAAAGTGATAGAAGTTAGACACCCAAAGATGATCTCGCATTGATTGTTTCATGATGGCAGTTATAAGTTGTTCACTAGTAACTAGCTTCTTGAGAAAATTCCTGGAGTTCTAGTGAGAAGCCATTATCAGTGAAGTTTAACGGTGTCAAGCGTGAGATAACCACCTGAATGATTTTTACTGAAACTCGACAATCTTTGCAAGTCGTTAATGAAAATCATAGTTTCTGAATTTGATAAAGTAAATCTGACTAATTTATGACTTCGAACTAATTTTTGAAAGTATACCTGATCAAAAGACTATTGAAAATTTTCATTCAGACATATGCCATAAACATCTCTATATTTCTCTTTGTATTGACACACGTTAATTTTCATGCTGATACCTTCTCTTTCAATCGCGATGATCGACAATCAGCCTCATCGTTCTTGATATCAAGCACTGAAAATTAGACATTCGAAGTAACATAAATCAGTCCAAAAACTAATCGATATTTTGCTACTTGAGAGAGTTCAATGGTTATATGTATAAATGCTGACAAAATTAATGTTCAATACTTCTCATGGTTATGTATGAACATTTGTTCGATAACAGTACATGCTTCTAACATGACTAAAGTGTAAACTTGCTAGTTTGAGCAGATATCAAGCAAACAAAATGCAGAGTATTCGAAAAGTTACAATTTTCAGCTCTTCAGTTTGAACTAAACTTACATATTAATAACCAAAACTACTGGGTTAAATCACAAGACATAAAATGTTCTAAAATTGGAGATCGACACAGTCGTAGCAGTGCAATCAATTCTACCATAAATCATCTATTATCTTCAATGGCAGATTGAAACCCTATAAAGGTAATCAATCAAGATATCTGTTTATTGAAACACAGAACTCAATTGAACATTGAATGATTTTATTAACTGATACGACATATCAGTCAGATATGATTCAATGTTCTTTCAATCAATTCCTTATTCAACCAACAAACCACATGTTCAACATATGTTCTGTAGCACACTGTCATTTAAGAAATTTTAGTTAATGAAAAAAAAAACAAGACATTTTGAATTTAGAAAAAAAACACAAAATCTATTAAATTAGACATGAACAAATCAATCAACACTACTCAATAACCCCTGTAATATTTGTTATCAGATATTTAATGGATGTTGTCATTAACATGTATAGTTTCATAAAATTAGAACATACTTGTCCAAATTTATTTATAGTGAAGAGAATGATAGTTCCTTTTGCATTTGATGAATTTCAGTTTATCATTCATTATCTTTCAGCAAAAGGCTCATTATTAAAATTTTTAAATATATAAATTTTTTTCATGTCACTCATTCATTATTCTTATGAATTTTTTTTACAATTTTGTTTAAATTTGCATTTAGTTGGAATGTAAGAGAGGATTAACTGTTTTCATTGTTCATTGTTCAATGATAAAAATGAGTTGAATATTGATTCGCATTATTCTATAAAAGAAACTCATGAACATAATCAATATACTATTTATTAAATAGTTTAGAATAATTTATCCACATATAAATTGTATCAGTTTTCAATTTTTTTTTCTTGAAAGAAAGCTTTAACTAAAATACACCATGAATAATTAATAACTATAAGAATGACTAACCATCATAAATCTGTTAATTGACACTCAAAGATAATATATTATTTCTTTGTTTATCTAAAGTAAACATTTAAATGTCCAGTATATAAAAATTGTTTGCTCTGCTAACTTGAAACAACTCAATTCTTGCAGTGAACATCAACTCTGAGAGGCAGGTATACTTTCAGTTGCAGATGATTCCCGGATAGGAAGAAACGAACTTAATGGATTCCAATTTTCAAACACTTTACATCACTGTCGCTAATGAAATAGTTGTGTTGAATGAACTTAATAATAATCTTCTAAGTAGTATAAATGAAAATGAATTGTTACTTACGGTTTTATATTTCATGAATGATGTACATGATTTAAACAAAACTTATTAGAACCTACAACTTCTATTATTCATGTTCTCTTAAAATTGATAAAAACGTGTTTTAACCTAGGAAAATCAGAGAGATAATGAAAGGAAAAGAGTAACGATGAAGTTTCATTCTCTGGGATGGATTTTTTGGTTGTACAACAATGAAAGCTCTACAACGAAAACATCCACCTCATAGAAAGAAACCACATTACAATCATCCGCCTGACCTACAAATTTTCTCCACCATATCAAAAGGAATTCCCGGTAATTTTTCATAAGGCCAATTCGAAGTCGTTCAGATATTAAAACAAACAAGATACTTTTAAGCATATTAGTTCAGTCGTGGTCTAATATCATGACTATCATAAAAAAATGTGAGGGCAACGCTATCATATACTTCACATAGTTGACATCTTACTGTACTTACTTTCACCTGTTACCCCCGATGGAGCATAGGCCACTGACCAACATTCTTCAACCTACTATGTCCTGGGCTTTCCTTTCTAGTTCTGTCCCACTATTGTTCATTCTTCTTATGTCTGTGTACATTTTTCACGGAGTACTTTGTTCATCGGCCTTCCTCTTTTCCGATTAAAGTTGTTCGTATTAGAGAATCCAAATAAATGTCAAATTTAAAACTAATCTTGTTTTAAACCATTCAAACAAATATATCGAAATAAAAAAATAATTAATATTCCCCTGGAACTTTTAATTGTAGATGTAAAATTGTCTAAAAATTTCAGTTCAATCGCAAAATTTATTTTCAAATCGTTGCGAAAAATTCATTTCCATTATAAACTAACGATTATTATACGAGATAAATTTTAATGATTCGTGATAAATCAAATTTTTTTTCGATTCAAATGTATTTTCTACATTAAAAAAAAATGTAGACAAGAGTGAGATTATATGAATGGGAAATTATCCAACATAAATTAATGTATTTTCATTGAAATGATGAATTTATCATTGTTACATCGCTATTAGAAACCTCAAAACATTGGAAGGCCGTTTTTTCCTATTATGAAACTCATCAGTAGTACGAATCTATCAACCCTACTGACGGGGATCAAACCCAGGACTTTCAAAACAACAAACTTGAAATTATTAATAATTGTGGTTTATTTTTCTATCTAATGTTTTTTTTTAATCCGAATAAACAACTTTCTACTTCAACATCTTTTGTATAAAACACTAGGTACTTACTTACGCCTGTTACCTTCAATGGAACATAGGCCGCCAACCATCACTCTTTAACCAACTCTATCCTGGACCTTTCTTTCCAGCCCTATCCAGTTGCTGTCCATTATTTTTATATCTGATCTTAATTCTAGGCGTAATATGCTCTTTGATCTTCCTCTTCTCTTTTTGTTTTGAGGATTCAAACTGACAGTATGCCTTGTGGCTCAGTTTGGTGCTCTTCTTAGTGTGTGTCCTATCCAACTCCAGCGCTTCTTCTTGATTTCATTCTCCGCTAGAATTTTGCTTGTTCCCCAATTCATTTGATTGTCGCTGATGGTGTCTGGCCAACGGATCTGATGTGTCTTTCGTGGACAACAGTTAACAAACACTTGTACCTTCCGTATTGTAGCTTCCATATTTCTCCAAGTTTCTACCGCATGAAGAAGAACTGTTGATTGATAGTTGTTTTGAGTTCGTGATGTCTTTCAGATGTAGAAATGCAGTCGTTGCTATACCAAACCGCGCCCTCACATCTGCATCAGACTGCAGAGCTTATCAATTCTGCTGCCCATATATGTAAAGATTTTTACAGCTTCTAAAGCTTCATCGTCAAGTGTGATTCGGTTTGGGCATGTTGTGTTGTATCGGAGAATCTTGTTTTTCCCTTTGGGTATGTTGAAACCTACTGTTACAGAGGCTGCTGCTACACTAGGCGTCTTCACCTACTTTTGTTGTTGCATGTTGCATAGAAGACCTACATCATCTGCAAAGTCTAAATCGTCTATCTGCATCCGAGCTCTCCACTGTATTCCGTGCTTCCGCGCAGATTTCGACGTCTGTATAATCAAGTTGACTTTCAGAGAAAGAGAAAGGGTGATAGTAAGCAACCTTGCCTGAAAACAGTTTTCAAACACAAAATTTTTAATTCATTCAAACACTAACCCACTAAGTGATCGTAAAAATTAATGAAATCTTCAATTCTATCACTAAAAACCAATGAACAGTAGATATCTGTTTCATTGTAGTATGTATTTCGTTGTCTGATAACATCTATAAACCTATCATTGGTGACTGAACACAGATCTCTTGTTCTCACTTGTGAACGCACAACTTCTAAACCAGTGATCCTGTACTTAGTGGTTTACAAGTCTACATCCAGTCAATTCACTATAGAACATGACCTTGTCTAGTTCGATGTACTATTTTATGATAAAAATTTTAACTGTACAAGTAAACTAGATTTGAAATTTTTTAAAACGTGTTGATATTCAATCCCTTTTACAATAATCATATCTCGTAGGCAACATATTTGTATTTCACTGTAAACCCTGCCCTTAAAGATCATTATTCATTTTATTAACTATTTGCGATTCAAAAGCAATACAGTTTTTATCTTTAAAAATACAAATTGTCAAAGAAACATTCTACAAAACTAGAATAATCTAAACTGTATATCAAAATTTATATTAAAGAATTCTACAATGTGCTTACATTGTGGAATATTTTAAAGACTCTTCGAATTCTACGTAATCGTAAACACTTCGGAAGAAGCATTGTTATTCTCTTTCTAACTCAGTGAATAAAATACAATTAATTGAAGCATGATTAGTTTTGATTCTTCAACAATCTTTAGACGTAAATAAAACAAATTAAAGAATCAGTTTTCATTGAATGAAAGATAAAAGTTGTTTTTCTTTCAGGTTTACATAAACATTTGCAAATTATACACCTTTTACTTATTTGAAATCATCAATCAATTATTGTTAGACCAACATTAGAAACCTGGAAGCACTGCAGGGCCGTCAAGTCCTGGTATGGAACTCATCTGCAGCGCGCACCCACGACTACAGCCTCTCGCAGAATTCGAACCCGGGACCTTCGGTCTTGTGCGCAAACGCCTAACCTCAAGCAGAGTAAGATATTAACGCCGTTGGATGCCTGCCTACCTGTGATGTAGAGGTTAGCTGTTCGCGCGCAAGACCGGATATCCTTGGTCCGAATTCTGCGGGGTGCAGGAGTCGTGGATGCGCACTGCTGGTGAGTCTCATACCAGGACGAAACGGCCGTCCAGTGCTTCCAGGTTACTAATGGTGTTCTAACAAATAAAAGATTGATGATTTCAAATGTGCGAAAACACTAATCTCCATAACTCTAATTGAAAATATATACCTTTTATTGGAAATTGAAGGCAGTCTGTAGGTAGCATATTAAAAAAACCACTAAATGAATATTGATTGTAAGGCCTTGTACAGCTCATTAGAGACTTAGCCAACTTTCAAACTGTTTATAACAAGTTCAAAATCTATAGTATGAACTGGTCTATTTTAAAACAATAACTGTTAAGTATGACAACTTGAATTTAAGATTTCTTCAAACAACTTGCCGCCAGTGATCAAAATGTTTATTTATCAAGTAGATCTTCACTAAGAGTTGGACAACATTAACTTATAGATTACTTCTAGTCAGTATGGTCAGTATCTGTCAATGTTCAAAATTCAACAGATAAAATGGTATCATCGATCATTTCTTTTAATTTTGTGCAACACTTTTTTTTCTGATTTACAATTTCCTTTGGTATCATTCAGAGAATTTGTCAGATTTATACACACAGAATACTTAATGTGTCTTATTCTAACTTGAATAGTCTCATTAAGGAACTCTAATGTGAGAAGTGAACTGAATGAAAACTTAAGAAGTTTAACCACTAATTGACTACATAAAAGTTATCATGCTCATCATAAGACATGAAATATTCTTAGTTATACAGGGTACATAATTTTTATTTACATTTTACAGAGCATATATATCTATCAGTGTAAATACGATCAAAGTTTCATACTAAATAACTTCTCTTTAAAATGCTTCACTTCTAATCTTGTTTGTTCATATTTTAATAAGCAGATTTTTCTTACAATTTTTATTTATAGGTATGGAAACGTTTTGATAAAGATAGAAGTGGATATATTGAAGCGGATGAATTGAAAGTAAGTGAAATGATACAATCTGATTTTTTTTCATAGGAAACTTTATATTAACATTAATTTTTTTTATCTATAGAACAATTTGCTTTCCAAGTTCACATCACTGAGTGACTTTCTTTAGACAACCATGAAAATTAGAAAGCGTTAAATTGCAAGTTTACCCTCGCATAGAACTCCTTGATAGACTTTCCAAACTGACTGATTTTGTAAGACGATTGTCAGAGTTTAAGACTGAAACTCAAACCAGTTGAGTTCAACTATATCGACTGTCACGCAACTATATAACATAGGTATAAAAATATAATTGAGTGAATAAAAAAATATCTAAATCATTTGACTTTGTTTCAGTTGTTTTAAAGAATAAACACTAAACGCAAGACCTGTAATTGTTCAGTTTAATTTTTGGCAAGGCCTTGAATATAAGTTGTTGTAGAGTTACATCCTGTGACTCAACTGCCGTCCAACGCTTTCTGACTTTTTACAGTTTGTTTGATTATGTCAATCCGTGGTGGGCACTATAAATTTCAGCAATCTCCTTAAGTTCAGTATAGTAATTTAATAGTCAATAAATAATTAATTAAAGATGAGAATTGTTTTCAACAATCAAAAAAAACAAATATTTTCAATGAATTAACTATATGTTTACTGGCTACTTGTTATTTATTTCAAGTTACCTAAAGTGTGTGAATAAATTAAGTGTTTAATGAAGCATAAAATTGGATACAGAATGAATACCATAGAGTTTAGATTATTTTACTGATGTTTTGCCACACTTATCTGTATAACAAACAAGTGTGTGTAACTTTTGAAAATCATCTTAAGTGAAGAACTTTTAGTTATGTTCTGTTGGATAGTAGTATCGAAAATAACATACTTCACTTAAACCAAAAGTTGTTGTAAATACTTTTGATTAAAGAATGAGCTTAAAAGTCAAATTGATAGGTAGTCTTACATACTAAGTCACACAATAGTTCCTCATCAATGAACAAATCGATTTTCATAAAGTTACATCTCTAGTTCATTTTTATCGTCAGTGTTAGGTTGGCTTCCAATGAGTTTTAAACATCAAAGAAGAATTGTAAGGCTTCTAAGCGTCCCTTGGTACTTTAGTTTTTCTTTTTCAACTAACATGAAAAACCTAGTAACTTATTTAACTAGATTTTAGTCTTCGAATCAATGTTTTTTAACTACTCATGTCAGCTAAAATAGTACAAGTTCTATAAGTAATCAGAAACTATTCTTTAAAAACTGGAATTTCCTGAGTTCTTGTGAGAAGCTTTGATGAGTGGAGTTCTTCTGCTTCCAGTGTGATGCAATTACCCACCGTAGACGATGGATAAAGTCGTGCAATATCATGGAGTGATTGAAATTCAACATCAACGACAGTAGATACTCGCTTAGCCGTATAAAGGTTAAGCGTTCGAGTGCAAGTTCGTGCATGTGCACTGTTAATGAGTCCTGTGCGAGCTTTTTAGTGATGATCTAACACTGATCGACTGATGATTTCAATTAAAATCAACAGTCTTCAAAACACTATAATGACAGTTAAGAAATTTGATTTATCACAATATTTATTTGTCAATGATTTAGACATCTTATGTGCCTCTTCATTTGCAAACATAGAGCAATTTATTAAACAATATGTCAGAGGATTGAATACTTATCCGTAAAAAGTATTGTACCGTAAGCTTGGTTGAACATGTGTACGATTCTCGTTCATACAAACTTTACAAAATTTTGATTATATCAACAATATCTTTACTAAAAATACTGCATAGATGTGGCATTTCACTGGTCTCATCTCTATTTGTTCTGCTCGATAACGTCCTTAAAAGTACTGGCGAATCATTCTGCCTAGATTGTTCGGTCGTAAATGCTTTGTTAATAATGTAGGGTTCGTCACTTAGTATGCTTGAGGCTATTACGAGTTTTCCTTAGTCGATAAACGCGAACGAGACTTTTACCAGCGTCCAGATAGGCTACCTTGAATCCCCAAAGCGAGTAAAAAGACTTTGTAAGCGTAGAAGTATATTCTACAAACACCTAGTAATCACAGTACAATCAAGCATACAACTCTCATTTATTTATACAACATAGAAACGTCCTTGAGACAGTTAAGAAAATAGCACACTAAAATACACAGCAGCCAATCACAGCCATGGGTTTGCCTGGTGGGAATTCAAATCTGAAGGTCAACTGATCAGCCCATGCTGGCAAACGTGAAAACCAAAATAAGGCATTATCAAGCGAACACAAGAAGAGATTTCATTCACACAAGAGTTCAATGCTTGTTGCTCTAACTATGCATCAACTTGTAAATAATCACGGCTAACACAACAGTATAGATCGTGTTGAATAGTTCTATTCATCTACATGTATATCATAAACAAATCTCACTACTCGATACATCTCCTAAAATATTGATTCAGTTTACATCAAACATTTTTCAAAGTTTGATAAGTTCACTTATCGAAATGACAATCTTGAAATCGTTATCCTTTTCATTCTCACTATCATAGTTTGATATCAGGCTAAAGCTCAAAAAAAACCACATTTAGAATAGCACGAAATCATTAGTTAACTGATCTTTGAATAACTGAATACTTATATTCAACAAATTAGAAATTTTCATTAGTCCCAAGAGTCTCATGTTAAAAAATAACACTCATATAGCTAACAAAATAAAAATAAAATATCATAAAACTAAGTCATGAATTTAAACAAGGCAGTTGTCACTTGTTTATTAAAACAATATCAACTACACATTTTTCTATCACAGAAAAAAAAACAAAAGAATAACGTTCTAAATAAGGAACACTTAGAACTATTAAAATATTTATGTTCATATGTCATCACAAGTTAGTATAACTTTATGCAAATATTTGACAGACGCACGGCTAATCGAAATGAGTTTATTTCAAAATCAATATCACCTACAAATAGGATTGTAGGGAGAAACGTTTGAAAAAGAAAAAAATGCAACATGAAAAATTTTTCATTTATGCTAATAAACCCCCATGAATTAGGGGCGCTTCTAGTAATCACAAAATAAATTTTTCTAAATGAGAATCAGTTAAATGATCTCAAATGATTTATTGTTTGTACAAAAGTTTTTAATTTCAAAAAAAGAAGTCAACTTTTTTTTACATATGACGGCAAAGTGTAAACCAGTTTTTTTACCCCTATTCAAACAAAACTGACATGAAAATAGTGTTATTTGAATTATTATTTTGAATTTTATGAAGAAAAAAAAGCTACCTATTTCTAGCGTTCAACATCCCATTCATAGTAAGAATCACAATCGATCAGTTTCATTCGATATAACTATAATTTGTATGGATCACTTCGATAAAGTCACTAGATCACAAGCGTTATAAGCAAAAAAAAATGGAACATTTAGCTGAAGAAATCTGTATGGGACGGAAAGCGCATTCTGGATTTCACTACTAGTCATTAAACATCTTTGCTTAGAAACCAAATTAAGTCACAAGACTATAAAATTGCTTTTAACCAAAAATTTTCTCTAAACAAAGTTTATGTTGAACGTTAAGTGATTAGGAAATCAAATTTTAGTTTAATTAATAAACTGAGCTGGAAAAAAATAATATCAGCCAGTCATTATATCCACGTTCAAAATTCATTAAGAAGTATGAAATTTTTTTATGTGACAGCTTATTATATCATAAATAAAGATTACAAATACAGGAATGGAACAGTAGTCCAGTTATTACTGATACTGAACAACTATTTATTTTTTGAAATCATGAATTGACCATCATTAGAAACCTGGAAGCACTGGATGGCCGTTTCGTCCTGTTATGTGACTCATTAGCAGTGAACAACCACGATGTCCAGTCGCTGGAATTCAACCATGGATCTTGGGTCTCTGATTCTTAATTCCATCCCACTTACTAAACTTATCACTATGAGATTTTTTTACATTCCTAGAGAAATTTTTGAAATATGCAAAAATTGTATAATTTAAGATAACTGACCATTTAAACTGGTCTGACTTAGAATGAAATGTTTTGAACAATTCAAACCAGTAGTAGATAAGAGAACTGTCAGGAATGATGATGTTTTTAGAGATGCAAGTAGGTTATTTCGCCGTTTGTGAAATAATGCTCGTCGTTTATTAGGCTCTGTGCCATTCTAAAGATGATTTTTACCATAAAATCCTTACAATTACTTGAAAAAATACGACATGAATCGTTTGATAACTGAGATGTACTATTATGATCGTGTTTCATTCTCTGAGCTGGATGTTATGGTTGTCGAGTTTCCATTGTTCTTCTATACAAGATCATCAGCACAAACATCAGATGGAAGTGAATTATTCGAATTTCTCCAGGTTTGACTCGTAGCTTGTTCTGTTGACCTCGATATTGATTAGTGGCTGTACTATTTGACTTGAAACATACCCTAGTACAGTTAAGAGTGTGGAGAGTCCGATCTAACACTCCAAATGCTTTTATTTGTCCACGCAACTTTTTCACTAACAAGGAATTCCTATTCATTACATTCTCGTAGAGGGTGTCTTGATTACGTAATTACGAGGATAAAAAGTAAATTTTCGGTTGTTGAAGGGGGTTGTTCGGTACGAATGATTACCCAACAGGAGCTTCAAAACCGATTCTCCAAACTAATGTTACTCATAAGCTCCAAGATCTTCGTGGAACAAACAGCGTACGACCCTACTGTTGAGACTACATGGTGGTTTTTCTCTCGAGCATGTATATTTCGGTGCTCCAATTTAACATTCGTCGTGCTTAAATAATAATTATCATTATACTGTTTCTTAACAGAATAATATGAATAAAAATATGAACAATTTATCAAATTTAACATTTTTTTCTTTTGATTTTCTACTTTTCATTTACTAAAAAAACTATGCATTCAAAATAAATATACCGTTCTATTGTTTTGTAGACATTTCTTCTACATTTACTTAAAGAAGCAAAACCTGAAACTAATATTGAAGAAGGAAAATTAATTGAATATACATCATCTATTGTAAGTGATTATGTTCGTTGCATATTTTCTCCTTTTTATTCATTTCACATTAAGTTGTTGGGGATGTGAGATCTCTAGAATTCGCATGATAAATATTTTTATTTAGGATTTATTTCATGGGCTGATCATTTGACCTAGAGATCATATTTCCCACCAGGAGAATCTTTGGTTGTGATTGGTTACTGTGTTATTTTAGCGTGCTATTTTGTGACTGTCCCAAGGACGTCTCCATGGAGTATAAATAAACACGATTTGTGTGCTTGGATACATTGTGTGCTGGATTGGGTGTTTGTAGAAGACACTTTTTACACTATGTCAAGACTTCTTGCTAGTAGATTTGGGACAACGGATCAGAGTAACCTACCTAGACGCTGGTTCATTGTTTTGTTCTCGTTATTCGACTAAGGTGAACCCGTAACAGTTTAAAGCTTACCTAGAGACGAGTCTAACAAAAGTAAATTACGAATTTGTAAATATCAAGTCATTTAAATCACTTTCATACAAAGGAAATACAATTAAGAACACATAGTCTCATGCAGACTCTTCAAATGATGACTAGTTGATGTTAACTATTGAAACTCTTAGGGGAATCATAGATATTCATTGCATGAGACTAGTTGAAAAGAAACGCTCATTATGGTACCAGAGACTAAAAGTAAATTTTTCATATTCTGTAGCAGTAAACCCCTAGATCAAGAATTGAAAAATAAATTTCACCAGCATTATATAACAATTTAACCATTGGATAGAATAGTCTTTCAGTATCATCCTTACTAAATGACCTAAAATTTTTGAAAGGATTTTCCAACGATAAAAAGCAAAAGAAACTACAAAAGTATTGACATTTGAATGAGTTGCGATAGATTAAATATTCATTATTTTTTTTCAAATTATATTTAAACTTCAGTTAGGTCATTCAAATGTTTGTTTTATATAAAACAAAAACAACATGTTTACTGATGAGTTTTGTTCAACATATTGATTAATAATTATGCTATTTATATCCTGTGTATCTAATGTTAATAAAGTAACCTAGATTAGATTTATTCCACTGAATCGATTAAAAAATTAAGTTTCACTTATAGCTATATACATAATGTAACCTTGAAATTCAATAGCTCACGATATTTACCTACGTAATACTGTTCTAACATTCGTTTCATGTTTAAAATCATTAACCGATACGTAGGTTTATTCTAGAAGTGCATGTACATGTTAGTCATATGTGAAATTGTAGGGTTTTATCGTTCAAAATGACTACAAAATTATTGGACAAAGGCATTACTAAAGGTATATTTTTTGTAGTCGGCATCGCATCAAGAGTTACTGAACAGCTTTTACACCAACAATTTAAACTTTATATCATGGATTCGATAACAAAAGGTACAGTTGTAGATTTGCATCGTGGAGGAAATCCATAGAATGATAAATAGTTGTTCAGTGCTTCTTAGTTTTCAGTGGTTTTCTAACAAAGATTAGCTCATGCTGCTAACTATGATACTCAACAATCTCCTCAGACCACTTGCAATAGATAAACATTTTTTTAAATGAGAATGAAGCACTAGTACTTGTTGAGAGTACTCTGCATGCTGTCCTACTGTTGTTTAGAAATCAACAATGTGCTTACAATTATTATTCTAAAATAAGTTTAAATAGTCAGTGAATTAACGCGAAAATTATAAAATCTTACTTGAAAGATATTTATTTATTGATTTTTATTCTATTCAACAAGTGAATGCAAAATTTTAACTTCCATCTGTCGGTAAAATTAATCATAATTCAAACATTTAATCACCTTCAAACATCATCAGTGTATGTATGAACTGACAAAGATGTAAGTCAGCAAAAGCTACCAAATAACATTAACATAACGAGATGTATTCATAATCAGAATGAAAACAAGTGAATATATACGGAATAATAGTTTGAAAAGGTAAAAATGGTGGTTACATGTATATGTGTGTAATTCAATATCTGGAGAGGATTAAGGGAGATAAATGCTCTTGTGTTATTCTAGATAATTCTAAACTAGAGAGTGCTGTTCAAAAAAAGCTCAGTGATCTAGAGGTTAGGCATTCACGCACAACATCGAAGGTCATGGGATAAAATCCTGCAACGTGCAGGATTCGTGGATGCTCACTGAAGATGAGTCCCATACCAGGACGAAACGGCCTTCCAGTGCTTCCAGGTTTCTAATGGTGGTCTAACATTAATCGATTCAAGATGTGTAACTTAACAATTTTCACAACCCCGTAATGAAATAATAGTCTTATAAGACATGAGTTAACAACTCACATCTTGTATTTACGAACAAAAGTTTTTGAATGAAGAAATTAAAAATTCAATGTTGCTATCAAAACTATAATTTCAAACAATTTAGAGTTAAATATCCACGACATAGTAAAGCACAGTTTACTAAACGCTCGAACATAATGATACACAAAAATGCTAGGTTTTTTAATTATTTTCATGATTGATTGAAATTATTTTAAAGTTGTTTTTTACTGTTGTATCTAATTCATTTTTGTAAAGCTTCAATTATTCGATCAAAACAAAGATGGTAAACTGCAACTCAGTGAGATGGCAAGGTAAGATTTATTAAATTAAAATTGGATTATTTGACTTTGTTGAACAAATATAACGTTTATTGTATAAACAGAGATGAATGATGGTTAGCAGTGGAATATAGGACGCACATTTTGCCGAATGTAGGGATTCAAGCAATCACAAAAAATGAATTATTGATATGACTTCATCAACACAGGTAAATTTGTAAAAATGTCAACAAAACATTGAGAAATGTAAACAAGTGCATTGAAATGGCCCGTGTTTCAAGATATCAGTTGTATAGAGAAATGAATATTATTTATGCGAGATTTTTTCTCCCACTGGAAATGTAACCCATAATATAACTTCTTTTTACACTTTAGACTTAAAAGTATATTTAGCACAACTTCTATATTCTAAAACTAACATATCATTGCAGTTTTTTCAACTTCCATGCAGTATTCATTAGAAAGTTATGGAAATTGTTATTTTTGATTGAAATGATTAATTGATCATTTTCAGACCATCATCAGAAGAAACGTGGAAGCACTGGACAGCCGCCAAGTCCTGGTATGGGTCTTGCGCGCAAATGCGAAACCTCTCAACCACAGAACTGGCATCGAACGATTTTAATGTCTAAGTATTATCAATCTAAGTTCTTGCACAACCTCACCCATTGTCTTCGGTAGTTACTGCCTACAGCCGACAGGGTTGAACTCCACTGGTCCCGGCTTATTACCAGGACTGCGAGAATTTCCTCACGAAGCTAGTCACTTTTGCACACACTGATAGTGAGTTCCATGTCAGGACTAAGCAGCCATCTAGTTTTCCCAGGTTTCTAACAAAAACCGATTCATGATTCCATGAGATACTCAATAAAGCCAACTCTATGTTAACAAAATCTATAGCTTCATAGTTTGTATTGAGTTAGTAATTCAAAACCCAGCTTGTTCAGTTTACTTTCATCTTTATGTTCCACATTACTGACAAAGGTTGCTATAGGTATATACTCAAAACCACTTACTAATCATATATTCTCAAAAAGAATATAATAAAATAATCCTCCCTTGGTAATCAACATCTATTCTCTAATCATCATAGTATAACTTTTGTTTGTAACAAGTTGTATTTTGTCAGATAATCAACATTCATAAAATTCTAATGATTAGTAATATTTTACATATGGTCCAGTTTGAAAACAATGCAAATTATCTATAGCTAAGATGAATGTGTCATATATATATATAGAAACTGGCTAAGAAGAATATTGAAATGTTAGACCGCTTTCTTATTTAAGATTAACAAGAAACAACATTTCATTGAGACTGCCGGTGGTTATCTATACAATGAACATGAAGCTTAGTGAATTTATCATTTTCAATTATCATTAATTATAATTGTTAACAATTCTGATTTCTAATTTTTTTTTTGTTGTTGTTGTTCAGATTACTTCCTGTGAAAGAGAACTATTTGTGTAGACCAATTTTTAAGGTATGTTAATGTACCTTACATGACATAGCTTTATACTATGAAATCATGAATCGATCAATGTTAGATTATCATTATTCAACCGGTAAACACACTGAACGGTCATTTCGTCCTGATATGCAACTCATCTGCAGTGCGCGACCATAACTATCACTGCCCCTGCAGGATCCAAATCCAAGACTGTCCAGTGCATACATGTATCTTATGGTGGTCTAACAATGATTGATTGATGATTCCACAATAAAGCAACAATCTCTACAAACCTATGGTATAAATTATCTTTATGATGACAACATAATATATAGATTCTGTAGTAGTATACAATGTATATAATAGTACAGTTTTTTTTCTGAAAAATCAGTCCACTCACTAAATATAAAAGATGATTATTTTGACAAAAATTCACTGACAAAAGTTAATTAAGAGGAAAACAAACTAGTACATAAGAGATATGGAAAAAACTGTATTTCAACCAGTTTCAAAAGTTTCATGTATATAAAATCAAGTTGTTATCGTATTCAAACAAAAAATTTACAATTAGTATGATCCATTGTTTCTGCACTTTTTCTCATCACGAATGATAAAAATAAAGTATTATTTGGATATATGTAGTGAATGACAACTGACCGACATTTTTTCTATAAATTCTCAGAAACGTATACAAAACACTATTTCAGCACATAAAGCAGTTATCATTGAAGGGATCGACTAACTTTTAATCGATATTAAAAGACAGTGACTTAGTGTTTTTAGCGTTTTAGTGTTGTTGTTGTAATTTATTAAGTCAACTGAAATATTGAGATGGTGCAGAAAATTTGTAGCTCAGATGGATGATTGTGGTGGTGTTTCGTTCTCTGAGCTGGATGTTGTCGTTGTAAAGCTTTTATTGTTCTTCTGAACAACATCATCAGCACAAACTTCAGATAGAAGAAGTGAAGTATTCGAATTTCTCCACTTTTGACCCGTCGCTTGTTCTTGGTTGTTGGTGACCTTATGTTTGTCATTGTTTGCACCTTTGTTTTGATTGTATATCCTTTTTGGTTTATTTCTTGATCCTATGTCATCTATAATTTTTTTGATTGGCTGATAAATTGGGTTGTGAGTTTGTTGTGCGTGTTTGTTGACGGCTGATTGACCTGAGTGCCAAGCTTTTAAAAATTCTCTAGTGTTCTTTGTGCTCCCACTATCCAGTATTTCCACACTGTCCCAATCAAATCTATGTCCACGATTGTCGGCGTGTATTGCTTTAAGCGAAGCATTGTCGTGGCGTTTGACTGCTAATTGGTGTTCACGTTAATGAAGCCGGACAGGCTGTCCACTTTGTCTTGTGTAGTGTTTTTCACAGTCTGAGTAATTTATTATGTAGTTGAAAATTAGATCTGTGTGTGTTGGTTCCGAAATATTATTTAAATACATTATATAAGAGAAGAGAAACAGTGACTAAAGCTTACACTACTATTCAACTTTCTGAATTTCACCTTGAAATCATTACTTAATCACTGTTAGACCACCATTAGAAACCTGTCAACACTTGACAACCGTTCCATCCTGGTATCGGATTCGTCAACAAGGCGCATCCACGACTCCCACTACTCACGGGACTCGAACCCAGAAGCTTTCGTCTTGAGCACAAATGCTAAACCTCTGGACCAATGGACCGGCATCCAACAGTTTTAATGTCAAACTCTGATCAATCTAAGGATTTTGTACAACCTCACTCATTGTCTTCTGTAGTTACTGCCTACACTCTATAGAGTTGAATTCCACTGGTCACATCTCAATTTCACTGAACTATACAACGCTCCAGAGAATTTCAAAAATAAAACTCAACATGAGGAAGAAGGTTAATGATAATTTAATGATAACTTATTCAGGAAATATATGGCATATGTACGCAATATATTTGAATTGAGAAAGTAGTTTCTGCCTGTTTATTTTTTCATCTTCTCAAATGACTTAAAAAATTGAAAAAAACATTTATTATTTTTTAATCACAGAATGCTTCAAAAATCACATCTGCTGATATTGATCGAGCGTTTTCACTTTATGATCTGGTAAGTGACATTATCTACTTCATTCACATTTTCACTCTCCTCAACCCTGATGATAATTTGTAATTATCAATAAAAAATAAAGATTTCATCATAAGTGTAGTATATATTTTGAGAACCTAATTGTAATTAAATGGTTTACAATTCGAGAGTTCATGACATAAAGTAACATTTTATCACGACTATCAATGACTAAAATAACAAGCATGATATTGTCGAAATTTAGTAATTTACTATGAATCTGATGCGGTGACAAAGTTTATTGAAGGTTTTCAGTAACTTATTCACATGATTCATGTCGTCGTCACATAGAATATAAGTATCATTAATGTACTTTTACAATTTATGTAGACTTGTTTCTCGTTATCAGTGAAAATGTAATCAATATAAGGTATATAAATAACTCTAATATTTAATCGACATTACAAATCGATCATTGTTAGATCATCATTAGAAACCTGAAAGCACTGGAAAGTCGTTTAATCCTAGTATTTGACTCATCAGTGATGTGCATTCATGAACCTCGCACAGGCGAATCTAACACAGGGCCTTTGGTCTCGCTTGCGAACACCATGCCTCTAGACAAATGAGTCAGAATCCATTTATGGGAGTGTCTTACTTCAATCAATTCAACATATTGCACGACCTTATTCATTGTCTCTAGAGGGTAACTGCACAAGTCAAGGCTTCTCAATGGAACTGAAATAATTTTCCCCATAATTCTAGTCGCAAGTGAGCACATGTATCATTTTTCATTATAGAATTATGAAGATTATTGATTTTCAGCGAAATTATGAATTGATCATTGTCAATGGTTTAAGCGTTAGAGAGAGAAACCGAAGGTCTTGGGCAGTAGACGTGGATGAGCACCACTGATGAGTCCCACATTAGGATGAAACGGACTTCCAGTGCTTGCAAGTTTTGTAATGGTGGTTTAACAATGATCGATTCATAATTTCAATGAAATTCGATAATTTCCATAACTCTATAATGACACATGGTTTTCAATTGCTTAATGCACGCATATCACCTTCAAAATTTAACACTCTGATTGTTTTTTAAGAGACGTGAATGTTTTACGGTTTAAAACTCTATAGAACTTTAATTCTCAGTAACGTTTTCAGTGGATATTAGTTTTTTTGTGAGAACTAGTTTTAAAACCTCTTTTAAAAACCACAAAATCATAATAATTCATATAGCTATACAAATATAATGTCAACTGACATCTTTTACAATACTGTTGAAAAACATCCAACTTATCAGTTCATTATTTACTTATGACATTGAACCTCGAAATTATATTGCCTGCGTATTAACATAAATAAATGCCAGATATACTATTAATTGAACACTGAACAGCTTATCGAGTACTTTATTCCTGGTCAAATTCTGACTATAAAGTTACTATACGGTGTCCAGTCTAACTGACTTGACATCACATGTAGTGTTATGATATGAAAGGTGGATGAAGGCGATTGAAATGAAACATATGAAAGTAGGCCTCATTCTATCAACAAACTGTAACAATAGTCTTGAAGGATTGAGTGACAGATAAAACTTGTCAACTTGTTCCCTTAGAAATGTAGTGTCCATCTTCTTGACAAAGTATCGATGGTATCGACTACGTTTAGCTACCTGTTAATATTTTATTAATTTCGACGGTATCACAATAATATGCTCGTCAACTGATATTCTTGAAACTATTACTAATTCACCTTACTCGGTAAACGGAAGTGAAGACGAATGATCGAGTGACACGATAGGCTATTTTAAACCGTTTGTCCAAGGCCCGGCTTACTTCATCAAGAAGTCTTGATAAGGCGTAGAAAGTGTATTACACATTGCACCCAGAAAATACGAGGTCGACAAACACACTAATCGAGCCATGGTTTTGCTAGTCACAGGCAAACACGGGACATCCCACTCCGTTAGTCGATTGCTTTCCAGACTTTATCTGTACTGGTATTGGTGTTTTACTTGGATGCATCAGGCTGTAGATCGTTTTCAGTCTTCTTTTCCGGTAACGTCTCATTATGTGTTGTTCGATAAACGAACAAGAAATCTTGTTACGTGTCGGCTGGTGTCCCCTCCCCTTTTGGCTTGACCAATGCTCTGTTGAATGTATCCAGAAAACTTACTGCTTCCCCATTCAACTGCGAGTGGTATGGTGGCGAGCGTAAATGCTTCATGGCTAGTCGTTGACAGAAAACTTGGAATTGGTTAAAGGTAATTGAGTTATTCCCAGTTGGCGTAACCATTGAAATAGATATTTTTGCATTCAATTTACTGCAATGTATTCAGTGTAGACCCAAAAATGTTTCATAATACAAATATAAATGGAAAATAATATCATTCAAGCAATAACATAATGTTTGTACACTCATTAGAAGATACGTAGTATAAGGCAGTCAAGTAAAGATACTTTATTGATCTGCTTTTTCTCAACTATCGTAATAACTAATAATTTATTTAACATATAACAAGAATCGTACATTTCAATTTATATTTATAATATTTTGTTAACTAAAATAACATTTACACCTATCTTCTGTTTGATTTGATTAGGATGCCAATGGTACAATAGAAGATGAAGAATTGTCAGGATTTCTTAAAGATTTATTAGAACTAGCTCAAGAAGTAAGAAGACAGAAATATTTTTTTTAACAAACTGATTATCATGCATGTGTACAATATTTTGTTTGGTAGAAAAAAGGAATAAATACATGACTTTACTCATAAACTACAATCTACACAACTCCATAAAATGAACAATCGTACAATGTGCTTACTGGTCACTAGTTTCGTGAGAAAATTCTCGGAGTTCAAGTACGAAGACGTGACTAGTGGAGTTCAGTCCTGTCGACTGTAGGTAATAACTAATGAAGAATACCTGTGAGGTAGCGCGAAAATCTTCAGATTGATAAGAATTAGACGTCAATCCCTTTAGACGCCGATCTAGTGGTTCAGAAGTTAAGTGTTCAAGTGCAAGGACGAAAGTCCTAGTTTCGAATCCTGTGAGTAGCGAGAGTCATGGTGGTGCACAGCTGAAGATTCCCTTGCCAAGACGAGACAGCTGTACAGTGTTTACAGGTTTATCATGGTGATCTGACAACGATTGATTTATGATTTTAGGAGAACATAATGAAAGTTTATTGATGTCATTTTTTTAACTGACAATATTCTTGAATAGAGAAATGAGAAGACATATTTTGTGAGATAGTACCATTTCGTGCATTCTCGTCAGTCACATACAAGTAACATGTTATTTGTGTAAATACAGTTTTGAAAATAAGGTCAAAATTTCTTATATAGCATGACATTCACTCATGGTAAACAAAGGTCAACATACAGTTGTTTTTGAACACATAAAGTTGGACTTTTCCGACCAATCAAGATAGCTTCGAGTAGTTTCAGTGTGTGTGGGTTTTGATGACATGTCACAACTCTAAAGGCTGATTTTGGGTCAATTTGATGACCACTCATCATTAGATGCTTTGCAATGGACGAGGCTGGGTTTCTTGATCGATTTTGAGATGAGGGGCTAGGTGGGTGAATCATGGATTTGATTAACCATTTTGGAATATGTTCCCCTATCCTGTCTTCCAATCGGCGATCTGTCCTCCCTAAGTAACTTTCTCCGCAGTTACATGTGAATTGGTAAATACAGTGGGATTTGGACTGAATCGGTCTTGGAGACTTGATTGGGGTAACTGAGATCGATTGAGTTGTTGTGATAAGCCTCAGATTAGCTGCATTGAAGGTCTTTTTTATTGCAGCTACAGTCTGTTTGGTTGTAATTTTCATGCAATGATCACCCTTGAAAGGTAACTGTAGGTACACTGGTTTCTTGGGTACATCAGTAGCTATCAGCTTCGTCGTAGTTGTGTTCTGATGACCAATAAACGTTTCGGGATATCCGTTTGATTTAAGTGTCTCAGTAATAAGCTTGAATTCGTCGTTCAATGTATCAGCAGTGCAGATTCTACTTGCTCGAGCGAACAATATTCTGCCTTCTTTCTAACGATCAATACGATAAAATACTTATCAAGTTTTTGTTAATTAACCAAATCAATTCATGAGTTATTCTTTGATACAAAATTTAATCGCATACAGAATAGAATCATACATTTATAACTGATTTTATCTAGACAAGAATCGGAAACCATGGAACAATGAATAGTTATGTTCATTACAAAATGTAACAGCAACTTTTACTCATACCAGTCTTTACTGCGAAAGCAATGCAAGTGTAAACGTGTATGTGATTTGCTATTTTTCTTGGACATTTGTAACTTTCTCACTTTACTAAATTACCACACATCAACAATATAAATGACTGACAATAATAATTAGTAGTGTTGAGTTAATTGTTATAAACTCAAGTTGAAAATTCAAATGTCAATCAAATAAAATCAATAGATAAGAATTGTTCAATCTACGAATTTATGTAATTCAAGCACTTTTTTTTAATCTCGATTAAGTTGTTTTTTTTTGACGACACTTCATTGCAACATTATCCCTGATTTTAAACACTTGAGAGTTTTATATAATTGCTTCTTTTTTTTCTTACATCTAATTAGCATTCAATAGTCAATGTTCACTTGTTTATTTTTGCAGGATTACGATGAAGCTGATTTGGAATTTTTCAAAAAAGTCATCTTAAATCAATGGGATGTAAATTGTGACGGGAAAATTAATCGTGATGAATTGAAAATGATGCTTATGCAACAGTCACGTCTGTTAGGTGATAGACTATGAAAATTTATTGATTTTTTTTTTTATTTACGAATTACCATTATTCTCAAGTGTTCATATATTTTACAAGATGTTCAATATTATTATTATAAAAAAAACAAATTGAAAGTACAGACCAAGAAGAGAACGAATTTCTACCTCGATTATGGCGCTGCTTTATATTTCATATTCTTTTCATTCATTAACTAACTTAAGTTTATCTTTTTTCCGAATTTTTTTCTCTTTTTTATTTTGGCTCTAACTATCGATCAATTGATCTTAACTTGACATATATAATTTACTCATCAATACATGAGTTTGACATTTTTATGCAATAAAATTTACTTCATATTAATGTGCATAAGTGCTTGTGCTTCTGCCTGGAAAGTCATTTGTATTCATAACTATTATTCATATAATGGCATATATTGGCACTAGTTTGTCTCATTTTATTCTATTCATCGTTCATTATTATTCGACAAAATGTATTTTTGATCATTTTATCATGACAAAAATCATAATGAATTTTTATGTCTTTAGTTAATCAACTTATAAATGGATGGATGCTATCATTCATATGAACTAATAATGTTAACCGTAATATTATAATATATACAATGGTATAATAATCATTTGTATTAACATTGTGACAAATTTTTAAAATTCATCTTTATGCTTTAAAAGATAAAATAAATCGACCTACAAATTTATTCATCCTCATCATCATATTTACATTTATATATATATATATATATATATATATATACAAATGACTTGTTTGCATTTCGGTTTTTCTACTAAAGTATTCTACATGACTTTAAAATGAAGATTCATGTTTATTTACCAATATCAAGTAATAATAATGATAATCGTTTTTTGTCAGTTTGTGTTTTATTCTCATTTTAGAGTTATGAAGATCGTTGTTTGACATTGAAATCGTGAATCGATCATTGTTTGACTATCGTTAGAAACTTAGAAGCACTGGACGGACATTCTATGCTGTTACGGGACTCATCAGTGATACGCTTCCATGACATCGGCTGCTCGCAATAATCAAGCCAGGGGCCTTGGGTCTTGTGTGCGAACGCTTAACCTCTTGACCATTGGAATGACTTCTAACGATGTTAGTGTCTAACTTTGATCAGTCTAAGGAATTTTGATCAAACCTACTCTGATGAGTTCCATACGTGGATAAAACAGCCGTCCAGTTCTTCCAGGTTTCTAATAGTAGTCTAGCGATGACTGGTTCACGAACTCAATATGAAACAACAATATTCCTATTCTTATATTGAAAAATCATTTGATATGCTCACTAGTAAGTAGCTTTGTGACAAAATTCTCGCAGCTCTAGTGAGAAGACGTCATCAGTAGAGTTCAACCCTGTCGGGTGTAGGCAGTAACTACCAAACACAAATGGATGAGGTCGCACAAAATCTGTAGATTGATCCGAGTTATATATTAACACCGTTGGATGCCGGCCTAGTGGTTCAGAAGTTAAGCGTTCGAGTGAGAGACTGTTGGTCCTAAGTTTGATTCCTGTGAGTAGCTACAGTCGTGGATGTACACTGCTGATGAGTTCCATACCAGGACAGAACGGCCGTCCAGTGCTTCCTGGTTCCGAACAAAGTTCTAACGATGATTTATTCACAATTCGTATGTTCATATTCAGATCTTATATTACAACTTATTTGATTATTATAAAATGATATACGCTGGGCTATCAGCAATAAACATTTAAACTATAATGTCTGGATAACAACAATCATTATCATTTAAACCTTTGTTTTTCAAGATAATAAATAACTTATTTCTTCAAACTTGTTCTATAGTTCATTAACTGAAATGTGAATTAAATAAAGACACTGTCTAATAAATCAATCAGACAGTATAAAATTTAAAAGGAAGAAAGATAAAATTTACAATAAAAGTGTATAGCTAATTAGACATACATTGAACATTGAATGAAATTCAGTTAAATAAATCTATACTGCTGATGTGAATATAATTCCATGTAAAAATAGTCAAGATTCATGCTTATGTATCATCAGATACAGATTGTTTGATTGAAACACTTAAGTGAATATGCTTATTTACTGCCTATCCATAACACAATTTCTAACTTCAACTAGTCAAACTCTCAGTTATTATTTTTCAATCAAAACACCAGCTACATCAACTGAAATGTATGAAAGCTTCTTTGTTAATCGTAACAGTTTTCGAAAGCACAATGTTTACTCTGTAACATTAAAATACGAAAAATTAACAATGATTACTATTGCAAAATTTAAAATTTGCGGTAATTTGCCTCTTTTAATTAAATGCACTTCAACAGCACACAATTTATTAGAATTTCATATTCAAATCTTCACAATATACAACTTAGGAAACACAAATCAACAAATGAGTGAAAAGTGTTCTTTAAACTTGTGCAACTATTTTGTAACTTGATTGATTTTACTTGTTTTGAATTTGCATACAAACATAGTTTTACATCAATTTCAGTAAAATAAAGCCTAAAAAATGTGTTATAATAAACACAGAAATGGCATTATTGTATGTGGAAATATGACTCCAACTCCGCCTGTAGAACCTTCGGGGCTACTGCCGGTCCCAAGCTCGGATAAAGAAGAAGGGTTGGACATGGGGTTGGCGACCCCATTCCGTCGAAATCTAACTTGCCAAAAAGACGCTAACCAGATAAAATAAGTCAAACCATTTTAACTCTGCCCTGGAAGTTGGAAGAAGAATTATGACGTAGCGTGATGAAAGCCGAGTTCCCTCGTAAGTCACGGGGCCGATGCCTCTTCTGTCAATCAGAGCAACCATTTTTTTATGTACATGGAACGTTCGTACATTGTGGGAGACTGGAAGACTATTTCAAGTTGCAGCAGAAATGAAAAGATACAACCTCAAGGTGCTCGGCATCAGTGGAACGCATTGAGACGATTGTCCGAAACTACAAAGAAGCTCGCCGGAAACTATCGTAAACCAGAACGACCAGTGAAAAGTAAGGAAGGCAAATTAATCAGCAACACTGAACAACAGCGAAATAGGTGGGTAGAACACTTTAAGGAACTCCTGAATCGACCAGCTCCACTGAACACACCCAACATCGAAGCAGCATCCAAAGACCTCCCAATTAATATTGGCGCACCTACGATTGAGGATATCAGTATGTCCATCAGACAAATCAAGAGCGGCAAATCATCAGGACCAGACAACATTCCAGCAGAGGCAATGAAAGCAGATATGGAAGCAACTGCGAAAATATTTCACATCTTCTTCAAGAAGATTTGGGATGAGGAACAAGTACCATCAGATTGGAAAGAAGGATACCTGATCAAACTACCAAAGAAAGGCGATCTCAGCAAGTGTGAGAACTACAGAGGCATCACTATTCTATCAATACCAGGCAAAGTCTTCAACAGGGTATTGTTAAACAGAATGAAGGACTTCGTAGACGTCCAACTTCGAGATCAACAGGCCGGATTTCGTAAGGAGTGATCGTGTACTGACCAAATTGCTACATTACGGATCATTGCGGAACAATCAATTGAATGGAACTCACCACTCTACATCAACTTCATTGAGCATTCGATAGCGTGGATAAGAAAACACTGTTGAGGCTTCTTCGACACTACGGTGTGCCTGAGGAAATAGTTAACATTATACGGAATTCTTATTATGGATTCAACTGCAAAATCGCACACGAATGACAGCTAACAGACTCTTTCGAGATGAAGACCGGTGTTAGGCAAGGTTGCTTACTCCCACCCTTTCTCTTTCTCCTGGTGATTGACTGGATTATGAAGACGTCGACATCTGGAGGGAAGCACGGGATCGACTGGACAGTTAGGACTATGCTCCATTGGGGGTAACAGGCGTTAGTAAGTAAGTAAGTAAGTAAATATGACTCTACGCTAGCACAATTTATAAAATCTAGTTTGAAATCAAACCTATTCTGTTGTTTATGTATTTTGAGGAACTTAACTATTATCGTTTCTAAATATATTGAGCAGAAAAAAAAATTGACTGATCAAAATCTGCTCTAAAAAAAATAGCGAAGAAATTTCCTAATAATTCTATATCATAATCTTCAGATATAACTAGCATAATTTTAAGTTGACTACTTGAGTGAACGTTTTCTACATTGAACAGAAATCAGTTTGTCAATCACAAAGAATGAGTTTTTGCGTTTGAAAGTTAAATTTTCCTTTGAGTGTTAGACTTTCGTCTATGAGCTGCAGTAGCCGTGAATAAACAGTTCGAACCACACAGATATAAGCGAACAATGCTGTTTTCGATTAGAATGTCATCAGGCTTTATCTCTCTAATATACATCAATATTTATATGAAAATGTTCAACCAATTAAGGCAATTTACGGGTCAATTATCACAATGAAATAGATTACGTCACCACGTATAATAGGTAAACGTACTAGGTAATGAAATTTGATAGAACTTTTGTCATAGAATTTTATTATTCTTTCTACTGTCAGTACACCTACCTGTCTTCCTACTATCAACTTGTACTTTTGCCTACTATTTGTAGTAACGTAATCTACTTTATTTCATTTTGATTATTGACTCAAATTGCCTTGATTGGTTTAACATTTTCATCATAAATATTCATGTATATTAGAGAGATAAAGCCTGATGACGATCTAACTGAAAGTAATATTGTTCACTTACATGTATTGTTCTAATTTTTACAATGGGAATCTTTAACAAAAAATTCAGTTAGAAAGAAGCAACATTAAAAATTGTTTTATGGTTTTTTTTGACAAGCAGAATGACGTAATCAAATTGAATCAGTGAATTTCTGTCTAGTTGTTAATATAAACTGACATTGACAACCCCAATGATTATGTAAATAAATATTCCGTCAGTCTGAATAAGTCTTTGTGTTCATCTTATCTTTCATTAAAACATCTATCTATCTGTGATATAACTAAAACTTCATGTAAAAGTAGAAGTCCAAGTAATATATACAAGTGTCAACAGTATTTATTTATTCGACTAATTGTACAAATAAGACAAATTTTCAGACCATTTTCTTTATAATGTGTCTCTAATTGATGACGCACTCTACTAAGTGATTGAAATCAAAAATACAAGTCAATCCAACTATCTGAATGTTCAGTACTTGTGTTTGAAACACTGAGCTATTGACTGATGCATGTATGTAATTATCCAAGATTATTCCACATCAATGAAACACATCCTAATGATTGTTTATGTGCTGTGAAATCCAAAGTAATTCGAAAGCTAAACGTTTTCTTTTCATCACTACCATGCTAATCTAATGAACAAAAAGGATTAGACCAAATAGGATCAGTGATTTATTTGAAAAAGGCACAGTAGGCCATAAAAATATGCATATCTTATCTTTAAACTTTCATTTGCAAAATATCATATTATCGCTTGTCTTTATCCACATGCTTTTTAGTCTTTAAAACACTATGAGCGCGCTATACATACGGATTCCATACTCTTTGCTTCAGTAGTGACATCAGAGAGATAGATGATCTGATGCATATCCACTGTAAAACTTATTAGCCACGTTGTGATTAATAT